ATAAAAATATTGCAAGACTTGGGACGGTTTATTTACTACTGGTTGTCTCTTTTTCATGTGGTTTTTTTTTTTTTTTTTTTTCTTTTTTTTCTTTTTAAGCAACAGAACACCAAGCATGGATTAGAAATGTTGCACAAGATATCTTCACCCAAATAAAACCTCACCAAGGGTCACAGCTACCATTTCACTGAGAACCTTAGCTGTGCTGTTTAGGAGCTGCATCCTTGTGCTAGGCACAGCCATTTCAGGTAAACAATTCCACAGTCAAGACTCTTCAGAGTTTGCCACTAGTATTTTGCCAAACCATATACAACAGGGCACCCATCCACACTATGTAATGTAGACCTGTGATGTGACATTTTAAGTAAAATCAAATTATTTGTTTACAGCACTGGGACTAATTGAATTGCACTATTCCACAAGATAAAAGAGTCAAAGCCAAAACGGGATGGGAAGTCAGACATGAAGAAAAAAAATTAATCCTACCAGTCTTTATCTTATTTGTACATCTGAAAAATCTACATTTTCCATCTCTGCACCATCAGTCTCTAACCTGACTCTGCCAAAAGACATAGACTTTCTTGGGAAGGAGTCCAAAAGCCAAAGTAAAGACAGATTCTTAAATACATTGACTCATACTCATTTATATCAGCAATACGTTCCATCTACTCTACTATATATTGCATTGCAATGTTTAGACACTTTACTACAGTGATTTTCTACTACTGTAAGACACAGTAACTTTTAAGAAACTTCCTTTTAAATTTCAGTTTTGCTTGAGCAAACCTGTTTGCAATGAATTACTTATGAGTATTCCACAGTTATTTGGTCTGCAAATCTCTCTTTGCAGCAATATTGCTCAAAGCAGCTATTTACGTACACAGGACATTCACAAACAAGATCTAGGCAATGGTAGTATCACAATTACATTACATTTTTTGAAGAAAAAGAAGCTGCTTAAAAACAGAAAGAGCAAGGAATCAGAAGTATTTTCCCTTCTAAAGCACTTTTATTCCCACCACACAAGAAACTGATTGATGCCTTGTACTTAGGGGCTTAAAGCTCTCAGTGAACTAATATGGACATCATTACTGTGTAAAAACACATTCCTGTTAGAAATTGCAAACACAAGGACATAATGTGTGTAGGTTTGTCTATATACTGACTTGGAAACTGCCAGTGAGGAGATACAAGCAATGCAAAAAAGGGGCTTGTTTTGATGCATATAGCCTAATCTAAGCCACATCTGACTGAGGCTGAAAGAACAGCACTTTTTCATCCCCTTTTCAGTTTTCTCTTTCTGTGTTTTCTTTTTAATACAATCTGCTTATATGAATGAGTAGAGTGTTTGTAGAGTGCTACTTCTGGAGGATCCAGAAGTAATTATTAAATTACTAACTCTGAAGCTGCTGCATAGCAGAAAACTGTACGAAAGCTATTATGTGCTAGATGTCAAAGACCTAACTATGAAGTTCAGATACACATATGAAGTTCAGTACAGTGTGGCCAGATAAATCTTTGAAAGTCATATTGTTCTCTTAACTCTCAGAAATGAAACTGGACCCTAAACCACTTTAAAACAAATACAGTGATTTTGTTTCTTGTACCTTTGATTTAGCCTAAAGGTATTTTTTAAGGCAGAGACAAGGAGGTTACATACAGAAAACAGCTTACTCAATCACTGTAAGCTGTCAGTACACTTCCACAAAACCTACTATAAGAAAGCAAATAAAGGTTTGCAAATTGGTAGGCCTCGTTTATTTATTTTTAACTAAGTCTATTAATTTACTAAAAGAAATTTCAGATCATACTTAAACCAGTTCCTGTATTAGCAGTATAGTGTTTTAAAAAGCCGTAACTGTATTTCATTATTATTAAATTTGTAACAGGTTGAGATTGGAAGCATATCTAAAGCACTAATGTTTTAAGAACCTGCTTCCTCAATTGTAAAGAGCTAAGTCCTTTTGAAGGACTTCATCATGAAGTCCTCCATCACTGTCATTTTAATTACATCATAGAGAACATCCAAATTTTAAGAAAAGTTCAAATTAAATTTTTTTTTTTTCCCAATTACAACCAGCAGGAGCACATTTACTACCAATTGAAGAAGTTTGGTCACTGTTTGTTTGGGGGCTTTTGTTTACTATAATGTGGTTTATCATTTATCAGTCTAGGAGAGACATACTGACATTGAATAATGTGTATCACAGCTGAGGTCACATTATTCCCTTGCAAAGAAGTTAACAGGACTAAAAACGTTTGCATTTCAGCTATTTCCTGCTCACTGTGTAAAACATTAATCTAAACTGCAGGAGGACTTGCTGCAGTTTATAAAGTATAGTTGGTTTTGAATTATTAGACTGCCAAAAACAGTGGAGAGGTGGTTCAGCTATAGTTGAATCCTGCTCAGAGGGGACAAGGACCCTCAGCAGAAGCAGGAGGCACCTGATGCATGAGAAGGGATGGAGGGAAGAGCTGAGGAAGTGCTTCAAATTGCTGTGGCCTTTTGCACACTGGCCACAAGTCAGAAATCTGACTTTGCCCAGTGGTCCAAATAAAAACCAGGAAAATACTTCTTTTCCAAGTGTGGTAAGTATACTTGTAAGCAGAGCATATATTAAGGGACAGAAACTTCTTCCACTGTAATAATGGGAAAATAGAGCAATTCCATAAGGAGTTAAAGGGAATGCCTCCAATCAACCTCCATATTTTTCATACTGAACATGCTACAAAAATGTAAGAAAGAACACTTAGTGCTTTAGCTTGCCAGAAGTGGAACTCCCATTCCACATCACTTTTTCCTTCACAAAGGAAACTTAAAATTCATCTGAATAACAATAAAAGTAGTATTATTAAAAAAAAAAAAAAAAAAAAGGTATAAACTAGATAGCATTAATTCAATCCCAAACAGAAACTACAAGAATTCCACACAAGGCTGGAGGGGATGGCCACTCAATCCTCCCGACAATTCCTCTTACTCCTGACAATAAATTTGAGTAAAGAGGCCTTCATTCACTCATCTCTCAAAAAAAGGAATTGAGAAAGTCCAAGAGGAAAGCTAGAAATTATCCAGTCTAAATTACTGAAGAGTCTTCATATAGACCACGTAGCTCAACCTTCACAGAGACTGACTGATTTGTGAAATTATTCTGATCTATATGCAAGTCTGGCCAAGTTTTGGTCACAGACTCAGAATTGTCAGATTCATACTATCTTTGTGGAAGTAAAATATAGATGCTACCATGAGGAACTGAAGTGTGACAGAAATGAAGCCCTTAATAAATTTACCATGGGTAGAAGAAAAGGCAACAACATTAAATTCCCAACAGGCCATGAAACTGAATGCCACAACACAAACATGAATACTTTCAGAAAGCAATTTACAAAAATTTAAAATAAGATCAGAGAATCCCTTGAGCAGTTCAGAACTGTCCATGCAGTCTCAAGAAAAGGGTACTTTTTATGACACAATGAAAATAAACCTTGACTTTCACAAATTCTTAAAAACAAGCAAACAATAAACAAAAATACCCAGAATACTTTTATTTCCTCATAAATCAAAAAGTGAAAAGTTTCCATTTATAGTGTAAGATTGGCATAAGTTCATAAGATATTAATAAACCTCATGGAATGCCTTTAAGCTAGTAGCAGTTAGCTAAGATTTCTTTCTCCTTTCAAATCTTTCATTGAACATAGCTATTAATTTCAACTGGCAATAACATTATCTATTACAGTACCATTAATGACTGAGGAAGAAAAACTGCTGTTATTTTTCCATTTCACTCCTAGATTTTTTTTTTAATTATTTTAACTGCTAAAAAAATGAAAGAACCATCACTACAGAGAAATTTTAAAAATTAATTCCATAACTTGCCATTTTTCCCTAATCTTTAACTGATTAATTTGCAAGTACTTCCTGCAATTAATTTTTCTTATTGTATACACTGCCTTTGAGAAGAATATCAAGAAGCTTTTTCCTCCTTTACAGGAGCCTAGGATTATTAGTTATCTTATGCTCCCTCTACTGACTGTGTAAGAAATGGCCTCCAAGCCTTCTAAGATGCTTCTCTGAGAGAACAGTTTAGGATTTGATATAATGCTTCAAGGAATTAAAAAAGGATAAAAAGTACATTTCTGTGGAGTGTCAAAACCTTGCGCAAGTCAGAGTAAAACATCTTTTTCCTCTTTCTAAGATAGAAGCCTCAGAAAATAAAATCCTCCTGTACCATCCACAGTATTAAGTACTACACAAGCCATTTATGATACCCTGAGGAAATTTCTTCACAATGTTTCAAAGGTTTTATATTTAGACGGAATATGAGAACTTCAAACTTCCATTTCTGGTGTAGTTTTTAGCAATATTTCTTTATAAACTCTACTGTTCAGCTGAATCCACAAAAACTACTCACAGTCTCCTTTACCATCCTCCTGTGCAGGATAGCAATCTACTGCCAGTGTGACATGAGCACTATATTTGCTTTTTACATTTTGAAAATAAATCATGAAATGACTGATGGGATAGAATCCAAAAAATACATCAGAGACAGTTTCCCAAAATTAAGGGAGGTCTTAGTACACATCCTCTCTTGTCCGAAAAGGTGAACAATCTTCAGGAGAACTTACTGTTTTACTATCCTTTTACTGAAGAAAAATGAGTCATCTATTTCTTTTTATAAAATGTCTTTTAGTAAGGTTAATACTGAATCGTCTCTCTTTATTATATGAATCATAATAGAAGATTTAAATATCAAATGTCATTGTTACATCTAGCAAAATCTATTTAATTCATTTTGTTGTACATTAGAAACAAATGATTTCATACAGTAATGACCTCTACATCATGAAACTAAGCCTTCGTGATTAGATAACTTTGTTATTAGACACATTCACAATGAATGTGAAATGAGAAAAGAAATCTAAAAGCCATGATAAAATACAATTCCTGAATATCGTACATAAACTTCTATCCCACGGAGCATTAACAACATCCAGGTACTTACCAGATCAATCAGACTCTCCTGGATTCTGTTCAGTGTGGTGCGTAATCTGCTGCTACTGAGGCCCAGTCCTGTTGATTCAAACTGGAAGAAATACACTCTACTTAAGTCAGGAAAGGAAATCTCTTTGGTTTAAAGTTATACAGCAAAACTTGAGTTTGCAAAGACTATCCACATCTTTCTTACAGTAAAATTTTAGCACAGAATCACAACCATACAAAATGAAAAGAAAATCAACAGAGGTCACAGCACTCAACACTGCACTGGTGTGAAGAATGACCTAAGTACCTTCCATGAAGACGACAGTGTATCATTCATACGAATTAAACATCCAGTATCTTTTATTGTTATAATTTCGTATTTAACTGCAGGACTCTAGATTTTCTCATTTGGGTGATGAGCATGGAATGATGCCCCACAACACCCCCTCCAAGCCTGGCACTCACACCACACCCAAGTCAAAGGGGCCTCCTCTTTCTAGCTATACAATCTCTAGTAATCATCAAATATATATCTTGCATATGTAAAAATTATAACCACTGATCTTTATAAACAGTCATTATTACTTAATGTCTACGAAGCTCTACCTCAGAAATTTTGTGCCATCTTCATGTTCACGGCTCAGGAGTATATGGGGCTGATACTCAGCTGGGATATATAGTTATATATATACCTGTGCTATATATATGTATTTATTTTATTCATATATATACACACCCACATATATATATAGCTACACTAATTTCCTGCTAAGTGCAATGGATTATACCAGCTGAGGGTCTGATTTGACATGCATAATTATTGTAACTTCTGATCTTCTACTGTTAATAAAAACCTCCAACAAACTAACACAACAAAGAAAGTGGAACAGAATGTGTAACAGACACAAATTTAAGTCAACAACCTGGAAGGATTTGAATACAGTTCTGGTATGTGATTCACACCAAAAGGCAATTTGCTGAGCAATATTTAGGGCACTGTTGTACACTGCATTATCAGACTTTCTTTCAGTGGGCTGAATCAGGGAAGGAAGTATTTGAGTTTATGTGATTTAGGTGTCCTCCTCCCCTCTGTTTGAATACAAACAGGTATCATTTGGGTGCCCATTTACTGCATCCAAAGTTTCTAATTTAAAATGTCATCTGCCCCAGACCTTCTATAAATTAAATGACAATTTACATTTAATTTGAATTCTCACTGGAAGTACACACTGATGAAATCTACTACCTGATCTAGAAGACATGTTCACAAGAACAGAAACTCATGGCTCTACCATGAACATTGTACTCATCAGTACAGCTGACTCACTTCATACAAGTTTTTGCTATTTCTATTTGCAATTTTCATAAATTAATGATAGAGTAAGGCTATTAAGCAGAGCATTAAACAATTTGCAGAATAATTCTATTCATCACCAATTTTACCTCTAATCATTACACTCTTTTTTGAGGTAAGGCAGGCTTAATTTGCAGCCCACAAATAAAAAAAATTTTGAAAGCAATTCTGGTTACAACAGTGTTTTATTTTTGACAGTGAAGAAAGCTAATACTGATTACATAGGATAATGATTTGAACAAGGTCTGAAAGCAATGACAGCATCATGAACAGACATAGAACTCAACGTGAATATTTTAAATCCCTGGTTTTCACTAAACTCCAATGAACTCTGTATAACCATTCTCCTTTTGTGTGTACTAACTCACATATACAAAATAACCATAATATTCACAAATAATTTTAAACATTTAAGGAAGTTATACCAGCATACTCTAAGAATCCCATTTGACATTATTTTCTGAACAAAAATAAAACAGGAACTCTCTGAGTGGTCTAAATCACATACCACCACCCATCTCTAATTTCTAAAGGTTTACAAACACTATGGGGAATGAGGACATTTAAGCAGCATTACAAGAGGGTTTATTACAATCATAAACCCTTGTAAGCATTGTGTTTCCCATGGAAAACAATCTGTCAAAACAAATAGTAGCCACAGTACAAAAACATCACAATTTTACCACCCATCTGCTAGAACATTTACCTGCCTACCACTGTGCTGTTCTCTGTTAGAAGCACAGAGTGAGGAAGCTGGTATGGGCTTTAGAAACACAAAACAAGAGGTGCAAAAAAATAATAAATGCAGCGCAATGTGAATAGCAGAGTAACTAAGCCAATGGAAGTCAATTATCTTAACAAAACAAACCAAAAAGCCCCAAATCAAATCCCAAACAAAACAAAAAACAAACAAACAAAAAAAACCAAACAAAAAACCCCAAAAAACCCAACAAAAGGAAAAAAACTCCCCACCCATCTTGTAAACACAAATTGCAAATACATTTGTCCTGCCAAACAGTACAAAACCTTTTAGAACCATAAGTCTGAAAATTCATTAAAATTTGCCAGCAAACGATGATGGATTTGGAATCCCTCAACACTGTTACTTGTGGAGTAATTTAGGGGCCAAGACAGGAGGAAGTTGTTTTTACATGCAGCTACTAAGATAATTCTATTGACAGCTGATCTATGTTATGCAAAGACATTGCCAACAAGCATTTTTTTTCAGCTACAAGATCACCCAAAAAAACATTGTTTTCATTAATGCACGTAGATTGGAAGAGGAATACCAGACATGAAAAAGTGTCTTACAAACTTCTTAAACTTGAGTTGCTACTTAACTTTCATGGCCCCCTTTTCCTACGTTTGCTATTCTTATGTAAACTAGAGAAATACATACAGAAAAATTCAATCACCTTATACTGTCTAGGCTCAAACCACCCTCCTTCTGCAATCACCTTTTCTACCCACTTTCTACCACTACTTCTAGGTTTCACATTGTCTTTTCTCCTTTTCAATAGTGCTGGAAAAAAGAATAGAGAATCTATCTATTCAAAACATAGTATGATTAATGTCTCACTGACAATAATGCTCCCAGTACTTCCCTTATTGCTGAGCTATCAGCCTTTTCTTACTCCTACATTCAAATCCATTTTATTGCCACTAATTTTTCTGAGAATTACATATTAGGTAGTATTTTAAGCAAAGAGATCTCTTCTGTATTTTCATTCTGAGTACAGTGATACTTGAAAATGAAAAATGTTTCTACCTACCATGTCATTTCGGCCAAAAAATGTATAGACTGCATACAGATAGTAATCAAAGAGCTGGGACATGAAGTGGATCACATCAAATGCGATAGGTTTCAGAATATTCATCATCTGCATGTATTTCCCTTAAAAATTAAATACAGAAGATCAGTTTCCCCAGCACAAGCGCTACAAAGACAGTTTAGACAAACTCAAAGCCAACTTTACCAAGTGTATTATGTAGCCTTCATCATTTATTAACAACAACTTAATAATAGTTTACAGATTGGAAAGGTTTAAAAACAAAGCTAAAATGATGGCTTAAGGCACCACAATTGTTTAAAGACTTCTCAAAATATAGATGTTAATCCATACCAAAATGTCTTCAACCATTCTCAAACTTCTGGTAACAAATTGAACACACAACAGCCTGGATCCTCTACAAGTTCCAGCTCCATTTAGGTAAAAAATAATAATCTGCTAAAGCAGTGTCTGGCAAATGCTACACAGAGCCACTGTAGATCTTAGGCTTTAGCATGTTTATATATGCACATATGGATATTTTTCAAGCAATAGAAAAACACAGTATAAAAATGATATGTCCAAGATTGGATTTTACCCAACAACTTTAGGAGTTATGCGCTTCACATGAGTGATACAGCATTTTCTGCTGTCCTTCCTTTCTATCCTGTGGTAAGAATCTCAAGTAGTTTTAAGTTTGAAATGTTTTCAGGGAGAAAGACTATGAGTAAAGGAGAATGCCAGTACCCTGGCACATCCAAGGAGAAGAACAATTCCTTCTCTTCCTTACTATTCTCTGTTGTAACATATTGGACTTCAAAATGTATTTTTTTTTTTTAATAATAAAACCCAGCCTCAGGATCTTCATCTGTAGGTTATCTGAATCAAACTGATTATAGTATTTGGAGTCCAAAAGGGAGTTTTCCCTACAGACCTAGTTCACAGGGCCTATCGTTTTCACTTATTTTTGTTTCCAGCATAGGACATGGCTCTTCATTGGGTCATAAAAGAAGCACACTTAATGAAAACCCTGATATTGCAGAGACCTCACATTTCCTGCTGGCTACCTCAAAAATGACATCCTGCTTGCCCTTTTATTGTTCTAAAAACATAACATATAACAAATGTTATTTTGTTACCAACAAACTGTTTGCTTATTACAGTACAAGACAGACAGCAATTTTTAAACCAAAATACAAATGCAGTCTACCCTAGCATGTAGGATACAGCAGGTCATTTCACAAATTGTCATATTCCAAACATATTTAGATGTGACAGGTTGGAAAAATTACAGGAAAGTGTTAAAACAATTTATCTTTCTTGCAGTCAACAACACTCATATTCAAGTTAAAACTGTGCCCAGAGAAGTAATCTACTAATAGGCAGAGAAAATACCGGTTTAATCAGAGAAACTGGGTAGCAAAGACACAAGTTAGCTTTTAATAATGGGGGAGTTATTTGAATTTTTCAAGCAAGTAATTGTGTAGGTCAGCAAAGATAACTAAGTTGAAACATGCGTGATACAGCTACATACCTGATAACATGGTAGAGCACTAAAGAACCAAACAATAGCCTGACATTGCTACCTTCCAGGTTTCTATCTAATTTAGACTCCTTATTGAATACTACATGACTACACCCCTGTTTGCTAAGACACACAAGCATATGTTTTGTTATTTGTAGAGATTTGACACAGGTTGTAATAATTTATATTTGTCACTTTAGCCCTTTTGTTAACTCTATACTACTTAATTATTAATGTTTTGACCCACAGCATTATGAACAAACTGAAAAGTGGACTTAAAAATTCTATTTGTCTTCTAAAAGAGAAAATCGAATGCACAGACCAATGTGGAAACTTCTGAATGTTTGTGAAAGGAGGGTATCAGTACCTAATTAAAGCAAGTGTCACCTTCATCCATACTATCTGAATACAGGCTGACTTTTTCCACTTACAGTGTGATAGATATATTTTTAAACTTGCCTGCAACCCAAACACAGTTTGAGTGATGAGTCACATTCTGGACAGTTAAGACTCCCAAGTATCTGTGCAACTGGCATCAGTATTGAAGGTAATCTCTTGGGCAGTGTCTTATACTTTTCCAAAAGGCTATGCACTACACACTGCCCAAGTACTATAAAAATCTTCCAGTGCCAAGAACATTACTCTATTACTACATCACTCAGCAAGTTGACAAAACAAGTGTTCCAAATGTTCCAAGAACATTTCCTCCTCATTGCTCTCTCTAACAGGACCCCAATTTTTAATGTCTACACGTTGTTACCTATACTTGTGCTGAAGTCACTGTTTTGGGTTAAAAAGGGATATATAAGAACATTTCCAAACAGCACACAGTCCAAAGCCATATCAAAATAAAAATTTCCAGAAATACTTGAAAACAACACTTAAAGTTTCAGCAGCTGAAAGTAGTTTGAATTTCTAGAGGGTCTAGATAGCTTAAACGGCTGAACATTTGCCAGGTTTCTTTTGGAGTATTGCTTGCAGGACTCCTTCAGTCCTTAAGGATAGCAAGTAAAGAAGCATCTTTCATGAGACTAATCTATACAAAACTGATGCACCTCACAAATTAGCACACATAAATCTTTGCCAATAAATCTTTACCAGGCCAACCTGGTAAAGTGAGCTTTAAACTAGAAAAGATGGGGTAAGGTGAAAGTTACAGTGACCATGCATGCAGAAAAATAAGGTCTAAGTGGGATACCTCCAGCAGGTACAAGCAGCCAAAGACATAAGACAGGACTATGGGACATCTCCTTGCACTCCCACTGAGATACTGACACACTCAAACACTTCTATGAAGTGCCTGTACACCAATGCACACAATAGGAACAAACAGAAGGAATTAGAGATGTATATGCAGTCACAGGGCTTTGTTTTCATTGCAGCTATGGAGGTATGTTGGGATAGCTTGTGTGACTGGAATATTGTCATGAAGGGCTACATACTACATGCTTAGAAAAGACAGACCTGGAAAGCACAGTGGTGGAGTTGTGCTGTATGTGAGGCAACGCCTGGAATGAATCGAGCTCTGCCTTGGGGTGGATGATGAGCCAGCCCAGAGCTCAAGCATTACGATAACAGGGCAGACTTATAGGGGTGACACTGTCAGGGGTGTTTTCTACAGGCCACCTGATGAGGAGAAGGAAGTGGATGAAGTCTTTTAACAGTCAAGCAGAAGCAGCCTCATGGTCACAGGCCCTGGTTCCCACCAGGGGCCTTCAGTCATCCTGACACCTGCTAGAAGAACAAAACAGCAAAGCACAAATAGTAAAGCACTGACAACAACCGCCTGACAGAGATGGTGAAAGATAGCAATGAGGAATGGTGTGTTGCTCAACCTTTTACTAATGAACAAGGAAGGCCTTTCTAGAGGTGTGAAGGTCGGGGACAGCCTTGGCTACAGTGACCATGAGATTGTGGAGTTCAGTATTCTGCATGAAGGAAGCAGGGCAGCAAGCCAGATTGCAACCCTGGGCTTCTCGAGAGCTAACTTTAGCTTCTTTGGGGATCTTTATGGAAGAACCCTATGGGGATGGGCACTGCAGGAAAAAAGGGTCCAAGAAAGATGGTCAATACTCAAGGTTCAAGAATGGTGCATCCTGATGAGCAAGAAATTAGGCAAAGGGGGCAAGAGACCAGCATGGATGAACACAGAACATCTGTCAAAACTCACTAAAGTAGGACATATACAGGAGGTAGAAGCAGGGACAGGCCACTTGGAACAAATATAGAGACATTCTTAGAGGGAGTACACATAAAGACAAGAAAAGCTAAGGCACACCTGGAATTAAATCTGATCAATAATGTCAAGGACAACAAGGGCTTCTTCAAATACATCAATAACAAAAGGCCTGCTACTAAACGGAGAAGGAACCCTGGTGAGGGGAAACAGAAAAGGCTGATATACGAAATGCCTTCTGTGTATCAGTCTTCATTGACAAGACCTTGGGAATCCCTGACCCAGGTAGCTGGGAAAAAGGAATGGTGGAAGGAAGACACACATTAAGAGCTAAAATGCCACTTTAAAGGGAAAAGTGCAAAGTCTGTTTAAAGACTGTGTGATTTAAGGTTCTTTAAGTCCCATGAGGTTCTATGTTATGCTACCAATCACTCACTTCAGCTAACAACTTCTGCTGTGAGGTTTGTCACCACTACTATTTTTTTCTTGCAAGATAATGGGGTTTAAAGTAAGCAAGATCTAAAAATTTGTCCTAAAAACCCATTCTTAACACAAGCAAAAATAAGGCCAAAAAAGCATTAAACCCCATCAATATAAGAAATAGCCACTAAACTATTTCTTAGATCAAAATTATATTAAGAGATCACTGAATCAATATATACAATGACATAGTCATTTATTATTCTTGTTGATATAGAGTGCTTAACCAAACTATTCCATATAAATTTAACACAGGTTTATTCTTCCTTTACATTTTAAATCAACATGCAATGGCTTTACAGGAAAAATAATTAACTTTATAAATTAGCGTGATGCTAGAAAGAGAACTAATTACCTTCATTAATGTAAGAGAAATGTGACAAATTGAACTGTTCACTTGAGATTCAAATACAATTGTAACCACTCCCACTTCAATTATACACTAGCAACTTATTTATGTAGTTTATAAATATTAAACTGCTTTTTTTTAATTCATTTAGCCTCCATACAAAGCATAGAACACATAGAAATAGTTTAAAATGCTTAACAAAGACTGTCATACTCATTCAGTATGACACAATACTTTCCTAAAAGTATTGGCCACTACTACTTTCCTAAAAAGTAAAGCAATTATTTCTGTTACTTGATTGGGCAACTTAAATCTGCATCTTCATCACTATGACTGAAAAACAGCAAAAAAAAAAAAAACATATTAAGGAGGGAAAATAGTAATAACTACTCATCCGCTGTTATAATTTTTAGGATGCAGAATTTCAGATTGTTTAGAAGAAACTATGGAAATGACAGAAACAGAAATATGGAGGCAAAATTAAGATAAATCATAGATCTAACAGAGGTGAATTGTACCAGAGTAAGGTACATGATTTTCTACACAAAGGACACAGTTCATTTCATCTATCTGTGATTTGGTGAAAGTATTATATAACAACATTGCACAGTAAATAAATGAAGCTAGAGTGTGTTGGAAAGGGAAGTAACTAAAAAAGCTACTGTGGAGTTCCCAGCAATTGGCCATCTCTTTAACATTTTCACAAATTAGTCTGGCACAAAAATAAGAATGATAATAGAAAAAAATAAAGAGGCACCATCAAAACAGAAAGAACTGACATAATGTACAGGAGTACTTGATGATCGTTGTAGAAAGAATTGGATGAAATTCAGTAGCACAAATTGTAAATCCATGCATTTAGGGGACAATTATTTTAAAAATGCATCTTTCTACTATAAGCTAGCAGCTTATCTCTTGGAAAAAACTGGGAAAGTGGAGGATCTGCTGGCTGTACAAGGTCATTACACACTGCCAGTACAAGGAAGCTGTAAGAAATCAAAAGAGGTGCAAAACGGAAACAACTTAGGACCATGATGCAATGATGTATGAATTGGACAATACAGGAAGATCTCATCTGAAGTATTGCACATGATTTTGGTAAGATTACAACAAGAGCAGAAAATTTAAGTTTCTGGTGGATAAATACAGAGGACACTAGAAATCTCTACACTGTTTAGCAAATCAAAGACTGAAAAGAAATAGTTCTGTTTTTACAGCAGAACAGTATGCATCAAAAAACAAAACAATCCCTTAAACCTCAAAATTTCTTTTGTCATAAGATCAAGTCAGCAGAAAATAGGAGGATATTTTATTTATTATTCTTTACAATGACAAGACTTCTGAAATAGAATTCTTATCAGAATGAGTGCTGTTAATAGAAGTATTTTTGAGCTGGAGCTCAAAACAAGCGTATTTACAGGCAGTACTAAATGACATCTTCCTCCCACAGGAGGTCCCTTTCCAATTCCATGTTTTAAATAATACTACTATCACTCATTACCAAAACAATATAAAACACCCCAAAACAGCAGAAAATTTGAAAATTAATAATAATTCCAGACGGAGAATAAAGCATATATATGAGCTTTTAAAATAATGTTTAATTTTGGGGTTATCAACATAATCCTCAAATAGAACTCCTTATGTAAAATTGGAAAACCAGAACTATTGCTTCACCTACTGATACAGTGTTTTATGGGAGAAACAGAGACTGGAGTTTGCATGAAAGTGCCATGAGTGGTTTCTACATTCAATCCTCCATTTTCTTAGAGCAAAACCTTATAGCAGAAAGCAGCAAACAAATCTCTCCAACCTAAGTCACAGATCAATCACAGAAAAATCACAACAGAATGAACTCTCATTTCAGGTCTATATAATAAATTCTCAAGGAAAAAAAAGGCTTTAGCAAGCCTGCAAAGAAGATTTCGAAAATTAATTCCTGACTTTCATGCTGCCCTCAAAGACAGCAGAAGTTGTTATAACAAGGTGTTGGAGTAACCTTTTTCAAAAGGGCTTACTCTGAATTGCAACAATGACTTTCAAACTTTGAAGGCAAACCTCATTAATGCAACACATACAGAATTGTTCTCTCTCCTGCCTACTCAGATATATTAAGGCAGTTACTTCCCCCTTCTTTATAAATAAAACAGAAGTCAGTAGCAGAAAATTGCTATGGTACAATTATCTAGATCATCACACAGAAGGCATGATAATAAAAAAATCAATCCCATTACATGTAGAATTGGAGGCCAGTGTTTTCATAGAAAAATTTGGCAAGAAAAGACCTCAAGAAGTGGCCTAGTGCAACATCTGGCTCAGAGAAGGTCTGAAGACACAAGGCTGCTCAGCAGCCTGTCCAGTTACATCCTGATGATCCACAGGGACAGAGATGCCCTAAACTCCCTAGGGATTACTAGGATGTATGAGAGATCTTTGCTTCTAGTTGATTACTATGTAGTAAAAACAGTTATTCTGAGTGCAAGAATTTGAATAATGAAATGAGAAAAAAGCCCTAAAGTTCTTGCTTTTGCAACTATTCTACTTTAAAATAAATCATTTCATAAAACACATCAGCAACACAGAGTATTAATCTTTTATCTTGCTATCTCTAGTCTTCTAAAACATTCAATATTTCAGACAAATAAACTACCATTATAGGTTAAAACCAACATATGCATGAAGATTAATTTTCCAGATAGAAATAACTCTCAAGATATAAGCAAATTTGTCTATTTAATTAAATATTTTTTTAATAAACAAATCTTATTAACATTTTCAAAGAGCGGAAATAGAGCCCAACTAGGTATATTTTTCAGGGCCATAAATATCATTTAACATATTTGCTATAATCTGTAAATTTGCACAAAAATCAAGAACACTTCTAAAAAACAATTATTCTACCTACCAACAAGCCTTATTACATTCAGTGTAGTGTTGGTTAGAATAGGTGCATTCACTTTATTGAGGTTATAATCTGATCTCTTTCTGCTCCTCAGAGTTTCTCGAGAAACACTTGAAAAAAAACAAAATAGGCAAATGTGAAAACATTCAAAGACATACAAATGAAATTTAGTGGAAAATACATTATTCCTCCCTCCTTATTTCACAGGACAGTAAGTCTTCCAGTGCAGAATTTTATTTATGCCAAAGCACAATAGGGTTAGGATTCTAACATTTAAGAAAGAAGCCTGATCTAATTTACATAGAATTGTGCTAGAGAAGGAATTTTTGACTTTTATTCTAATGCTGGAGCTCTGTCTTGCCCCAACAGTCATTTTAATCACTCTGAATCAAATTCTTAATTCATTAAGAGAATGAAAACAACACAAGTCACAACAAAACAGAGGCAGATTTGTCAGCTACAGCTGAAAGTTACTACCTAGAAATAGAATTAATTTTGAGGAAGGTAAAATTAAAAGAATCATTAACTTTTTCATCAATTTTGGTTCTGAAAGAGACAGGAAATTGGACTCAATGATATTTATCCAACTAGACACATTTTAATTTTCTGTAACAGAAACCCTCTGACAGCTGCCACACCTCAAAATTACATTCTTCCAAAAATTTAAATTTCACAGCATAAATCTATGGACAGCAACTCTTGTTTGTTCCAATTAAATAATTTTTAGCTATATCTGCACCACTTCTTTGCAAGGAGGCAGGTTACATGGTATACCTTATAGAAAGAATCATGGTAACAATATTTTATCCTAAAGAGTCATCTTGTGACTACTCTACTTTCATCCAAGTGATGGCCTTCTACCTATCCTGCAAACCCTATGTAAAAGAATGTTAGCCTACTTTACAAAGTCTGAATGTACATCTAAATTGTACAGTGTCCTAGACAGAAACTTGTTTTCAGATCCTTTTAGATGATACAAAGTTGGCTTTTTTTTACATTAATATATACAAATAAAATACTTTTTTATAGACATCAAAATAGAATATATATATTCATTTATATATATCTAGATGTGTATTAAAGAAAAAGAGAATTTAAAATTCAAAAGACTGTCTTCAAGCTATGGAAGAACCTTATTTTTTTTCCTTAACCTGTACAAGTTTACTGTTCTGCAGAAGCTCAAAACTCAAAGCATTTGTCTGCAAACAATTGCTTTTGACACAACAGAAATTACACATATACACAAGAGCTGCTAGAGAAGGACCCTCAGTTAACATCTAGTCCTTACTAACCAGTTTTCCACTACCTGCTTCAGAGAGCCTTTATCTGCTTTCAAAGTGTTCCTTTCCTCAGGTTTTCTCTGCAATAATGATGAACAGTTTAATGTTCCTCCCCATTCTGGAGATCTAAGTGCTGAGCCTTCTAACTGTGCAGGCAGCATAATATTCATTTGATTATTATTCCACTGCTGCTGATTATAGACACTGAACTAAATAGAACACTGAGATGAAAAGCATGTGAATTAGACCAAGGACACAGACAGCCTACTTACCTTTTTATTGGGGCATCTCCTGTCTGCTCATCCACATAATCTCTTTTCAACTCTTCAGGAACATCACTGTCACTATCATACTCTTGATAGGCACTTTTTTCTTGTTCATCTGATTCATACTGTTTAAAAAAAAATTACTACCATTATTTTTCTTATAATATTATCACTCATCTAAGGTTGCACTTTGGTCATTTTTTGGCTTTTACCTTGATTGGGGTACAAATAACTTTGCTGGCTGAAAGGCTGCTGACATTGTTCTGTAAAAATGCAGCAGGCAAATTACATTATGTTGACTGAGTAAATATTTGCATCATTTTATTTCAGCTACTGATAATTTGTGTTGCTTTCTAGTTGATTTATGAAGTAGCCACATATCTGAGCTTTTATTATTTGCTTATAATCAGAAAAAAATAGTAATTCTCAAAATTCATCCATATAGTGGCAGTAAAAAAAAAGCACAGATAATTACCACCTCTTATTATGCATTAATATATAATAAATACTGTGCTAATTCAATTAAAATTTAGTGACAGTAAAAAGATAAATGGACCACAAATTGTTAACTACAACACATATTGATATTAGAATCTGTCAGTGACATTAATTAAATGCCTTAACATCATAGAATAAGAGGAATTTTGAGAATTTTTTTTTAACATGAAAAAGTACTTTCATTAAGTCTCCTCAATCTAATGTTATTAATGATCTGAAACAGCTATTTATAAGATAAATGCATTTTTATTTTAAAGTATGCATTAACTCACAACTATTAAACAGTGACCTTAATGTGAAGAAACCTTATAAAACTATTTTAAATTTGCACAGCCTGCAGTAAAATTTTAAAGTAAAAATTAATTCAGGTATCCTGCAGCAATAATCAGTTACAAGTGTTCAGGCAATCCACTCAAAGCAGCCCACAGGTAGTGACAAGGTTCATCAGAGTTGAAAAGTGGTACAATACTGGAAGTTAATTGAATCATAACAAAGATATTTTAAGAAGCTATAGAAAAGGGACACAAAGCATCTCACTGAAGCTCAAGATACAGAGCTAACGTAATTGGGTCCAGGGGCCCCATTTTGCAACAACGAAGCACTTAAAAAAGACTTTAAAATTCTCAAAAGAAATCCTGACAGTTCCTCCCACACTACAGATAAACTGACAAGTAAATTACTTGTTTATGTCCTTATCGTGCTACTTCTTTCTATGTTTGGCAACATGCCTGTGTTCTCTGAAAACAAAATTTTGCAACTTCTACCTGAAAAAATTCCAATTTTCAGTGCTAAAATGTGCTTATACCTTAACTGGTCAGCTGAGACACTGACACAGAAAACCTCCGTAAAATTTTAGCCTGCATTGTCTAAGCAGATTGTTCATCTTTCTATGTAATAAATAACAAAAATAGGTGTACCTTCTACTTTTTAAACAGGAGTTCTTTCTGTGTCAGCACTTCAGAACAGACAGTTGTGAGACTGAAACATTAAAGGTTAATGGCTCAAGCAATCAGCAATTTGCAAGAGCAGCAGGTGCTCTGCTGAGGCCAGGCTTGCACACACCAACTGTAGGCTGTCATTCCTAGCAGTAACCCACAATGCATCAGAGGAGTTTGAAATCACTAAGCAGAAATTATTCTTTTTTGTTCTTGAGATGTTATCCAGCCCCAGTAGCACAAGTTAAGCCCAATAAAACATCATTCAACGGGATAAACAATAACAAAAGCTTAAACAAAAACATGTTAATTTAGCATTTAAGAGAACAGTAGAAAGTTTTACATTGAAAAAGATTTGAGCACTGAAAGATTTTGACAGAAGTCTGAAAAAAACACACACAGTTATTGTTCAGTTTTATAGAAGAACCCACAAAAAACATAGTTGTACTTTCAATTACAACTAAAAATGATGTAACAAACATCAGAAAATCCATGGCAAATCACATAGGTGTGAACAGATACAAAAAAAGGAGCAACCTACAACAAGTCTTTCCTATGAAGCTGGAAAGCAAGTCCTAAAATGATAAAATTACCTCCACAAAGAAAGCTAATTTAAACCCCTGGAAAAATACTAATTTAGGTGGAACACGTGTTTCTAACCTTCAGGAATGCTTGAGTGGGAAAAAAGTACAGATTCAGTGCAAAACAAACTGAACTTTAAATAGGATGCCTGGGCTTCCGGCACTTTTAAAAGCAAAGCAGCACAGTACTGCAGGCAACAGATTCTTGTGCTAACACACTTTAACTTTACCATCATTGCCTCACAAAATATATCATCATTTACTGAAAGCACAATTTGCCTTCTTTTTTTTGTTTTGATTTCTTTTTTCCTGAAACGCTCCATACCCCATTGGAAGCTAACACGTCTTCTGTCTCATCATCCTTGCTGTCGGCCTGGATCTCGAAGGGGTTTCCTGCGGCGCAGTACTGCTGGAACAGCGTCCCCGTCGAGCAAACTGCTGAGGCAGGCTGCTTGCTTGGTGACACCGACGGGGACCGCGACTGCTCCAGGAACTTAAATTCCTGTCGACAGAAATAAACCACCTTCTCATCAGGCATTCTCAACGTTATTATGACTCTAGTTCCATAAAAACAAAGGATTACAGCAAACTTGTGGACAATTTTGTAGCCAAAGTCTGCTGCTTATTTAAACATGCTTTTCATGCTGGCTCAAGTTAACCTTGAAAGTGATAACCTTATGCTGCTTCTCTTTGTACTTTTAGAAGTTTTCTGCTACAACATGCAATACATCGGCATTCTGAAAGTATTTACTGTCTAAAACTAGGTGAAAACTAATTGGTTTTTATTTCACAGAAATAAGGAGATAAAAAAATACTTAAATTCTATCAAAAAATACAGTTTTCTTTACACAAGTTACTAAATAATTTACTAAAGCGGAAAATTTCTTGTTGACATTTTATTTCTAAAAAGTTGTCAAGATTTTTTACTTCTCAAACCCACTGCACAGTTTCTGATCACTGGCTGAGTGCACAAACATTTGCAAATGTATGGACCAAGTAGGACCCAAAAGACATCATTTTTTTACTTTTTTTTTCCTTAAGAAACACAACTTATCTCAGATGACATACCATTTTTATGTATTAAACTCTAGCTATTGATATTCATAATGGCAAAATGTACATTTTTTTAACTGAAGGTTTAAAGATTAAAACATATTAAAACATAGCTAAAAGGACTACAATGTTAGATTTCTGTTTGCTTGAACAAGTCTGTAACTTTCTGCCACTTTCTGCTGCTCCAGTCCCTTGAGCAGTATGTACAGATTTATAATCCCATTTTTTTACTAAAAATATTATTGATTTGCTGCTTGATGCTGCTGAGGGTCCTCCATTCCTTCCCCTCCATACTTTTAGTGACCCAGTAGCCTATTGCTTACTTCTACAGTTAACTCCACAGAGGTTGCAAAATGATCTTGCTTAACACTGCTGTGCTAAAACATTTCTGTACTTTAGTTATACCTTTAATCACAGGCACCAGGTTTTATTTGGCAAAACAAGTTAATTTCATCCACCACATGCTAAAAATTAAAAAAAAAAAAAAAAAAACACTTCAGAGTATTAGAAGGTGAGTACAGTAATTACTTGCTTTCAGTTGGACTTCACCACAGAAGAATATTTTTTTTCCTGTCCAAATGAGGCGGTATGAACTATGTTTCCAGAAACAGATGCCAAGTTGGTACAAGCTAGTGAGCGCTCATGCAACTACTTTCAGGCACTCATGTTTTAGCATCTTACTGTCAGATAAATAATTTAGAAATTAAAAACAGATATATAACAATACATTGAAACAGGAAAAATAAAGGCTAACATTATGCTTACAACTCCAGCATCTTCCATAAAAACCTCTGCCTGTCTGAAACAGAAGCACTACTGTTTCAAAACCATTCGACTCCTAAGTTTCTAATAATTCATGAAGTAAAATTAAGGAGCTTTTAGAAGCCATTAAAAACATTTGTATAGTAGTTCATGGACCTCACTACTTCTTAGAACATCATGACTCTTAGTTATTAAAGTATTAATTTGTATATTTTATCCATAGAACTTACATGAAGCTGCAAAATATTAAAGCTGGATTTAACAGGACAAAGTTCCCAGGTCTCATTCTCCAAAAACATTCTTAGTTCTTCAAGACGGGTTCTGAAACACAAATGAATATTCTTAATTGGCAGAAAGATTAAATCACAAAGTTGGCAATTTCTTCACTTCTGCAGTGAAAAACTCCTAAAACTGTACAAAAAGTTACACTTTAAAGCAAGTATTTAAGCAATTATTCTAACCAACAAACCACCAAATGCTGTGGCTACCAAAACAGTGTTTTTTATGACACCTCTGGAGAAAGATATTCTTCGAGACTATCTCTAAAATTTGTAAACTAATTTTTTTAGTCAAAACCATCAGAAATTATAGAGAAATTATAATCTACATTTATGCAGAAATATTGGATCTTTTTCCTCTGTAACTGTAGAAAGCAATATAATATATATATAAACATGCCACTAACAGCACAACAGCTTCTGAGAGCCCACATAAGACAGATGTTTCTTTCAAACACACTGAAGCCAACAGAGAGCAAAGGGAAAAGGAAAGAAATAATATTCTACAGACATCTCAACATTTCAAAGAAAAAAACATAAATGGCTATTAGTCTCTAATTTTCATCATAGCTTAATTTTACGATTGTATCAGTAATATAGTAATAAGGAAAAGTAATCAAGCCATTACATCTCTGCATTTCTTCTGTTGTTTTTAATCACCAGAAAAGCCTCCACTCTGTTGTAAGCAGAAACATCTTTGATAAAGAAAAAAAATTTGCCACATAAATGGAATATATAGGAAAAGACAGCAATGAATACTTTTTGGGATCACATTGCTCTGTCTTTTCCTCTTAATATAGGGCATATTGTTTTGTTTAACAAGCAACAGTTGGTAAACTATGCACTGGGTTTCTGATTAGGCAATAAAATATTCTAGGAATACCACAACTTCAGTAATGAATTACAACCACCACTACAATTAAAATTTGCTTGCCACAATGAGATAAGCATTGTGCTGAATTGTGACTACAGTTTCCGGTGTTTATTTAAATTCCCAAGTTAAATACAAATAGACTTTAAGTGCTATTTTCAGGGCATTGAGCACCCATAGCTTGCAGATCTTCTCACAGTAAAGGCAAAAGAAACAACAGAGATGCTGTGAAAACCAGCATTAGAGATTAAAAGTCTTTGTGAGGGATACTGAGGTGAAAGTCATAGAAAAGCAACCATTTAAAAGCCACACAACAGGTTTTATAGCATTTTAAACATGAAAACAAGGCTCTGACAGAGTACTTAAACAAATGCTCTTAATTTTCACCAGCATATACATGTAGAAAGGCAATTGCATGAAGACCTGATGCATTCATTCTGTGAAAAGCTTAAGTGATCAGACAGACCTTTTTACAAGTGTACCAGTACATAAAGTAAATTGCATTTCAAAAATCATCTTATTGATGCTCTTTGCCAAAAGCTCATTCTGATTTTTCAGAACAATCCATTTGCACCCAAAATACAGGCTTCCTATATGCTCTAGTACTATGTTCTCTTCTATGTTTTCAGTATTTTCTGTATACTGGCAGTTCTCCATAACACCACACTGCCCAGGAGGCCATGCATGTCAAATTACAGAAAGAACTGATTACTCCTGGACTCCAAGCATTTCAGTTCTGTGTAGCTTTCATGTACTAATGAATCCTTAAAAGCAGTCCTGCTTTTTTTTTTCCCTCCAATTAAATATCTAAGAGAAGTGAAAGCCACATTAGCTTGATCTGAAAAGGCAAGATGCTTAAAGCTTTCCATAAAACAACCTAGGGGATATAGCTCTGAGACAGGGTTTTTTATGTTTTTCCTTCTGAGAATGAAAACAGCAGCCAATTAATCTTCACAATACCCATGCAGCATAAAACACATAAAAAATATTCAAAGGTTTCATATAATTTAATTCATGTCAATAAATATTTCATTCTATTTTCACAAGAATTACATTATCTTAAAAACACAAGTTATTTCAAAAAATTACTATTTCTATACATATTCCATCAATGTTCTTTAACCTTTATTTTACTCAAAGATAATTCAGAAAATTAGCCTATGATTACTTAAGCTGTTAATCATATACAGAACTGTAACAGTCAAAATTATATTTATGTAAACCTACAAGGCATTATGTGATAAGTCAGTGTAGTTAGGTAGACCAAAATCAGTTCATGAAATTCTGTTTAGGATTCAGAAAAAAATCAAGAAGTAAAAACAGGTGGCATCTCCTGACAAGACATAATGTGGATCTGATTAGGGCTCAAGTTTTTAAGGCTCAGACAACTGGAACTGAGGTCTTCTTCAAATCATGAAAAAGAACTCCTAGCAACAAACTAACAAAGCTGGAAGAAATTCCAAACCACATTCTCATCTTCTGAATTCAGTACTGTTTCATGTTCTCCTGCTCTAATTTTCATACTTCATGGACTTTAGGCAGAAAGTCTCAGACTTTTCAAATGGCTCTGGATGTATTAGGTGTATGATAGCACCCAAACAAGAGGACAACAGATCAAGACTAGGAAAGTAAGCATTTCCTACAGCATGGAAGGCTGTATTTCTTCTCATCTCTTCCTAGTTTTTACACCCAGAAAGATCATAATGCTAGAAAACTAGAATTAAAAAGTCGTCAATCATCCAATCCAAAACATTTCTAAAATCAAGGTAACTAAAACAAACAAACAGAAAGATAAGTCTTGATGCTGTTATAGCCATGTATCATATCTGGGTCCAGAGAATGCCTGTCCATGACAACACATGACTGGCCTCAGCTATGACAATACAGCTCACTGAAAGGTAGTTACATCCTGACAACGAACAGGCCACGAAGACATGACACTCCAAAGGATGGACTCAGTTCTAAATATCTTACTTGATTCAAGACAGAAATGCATATTTAAAAAACATTTCAGAGTCATACATTGTAAGTCTTCTTAAACAATAGCACAGAAAAAGAAGACACAATTTTGCTACAAAGTATGGACTACAAAGGCATTCCTCCTCAAGATGCCAGGAGACAAGAGACAACCTAAAAAACTACTGAAATTCTGCATTAAAAAGTTGTTCATCTTTTATCTGACTAGCCTGCTGCAGAACTACAGTTTTCCACAAACACAGTGGAAATGAAGGCTTCTCTATCCTCTCCCCTTCTTCAGGGCTCAGAGCCTTATTCTCATCAGGAAACATACTCTACAGGCAACTTCAACACAGGAACATTATGCAGTGTTTTCTTTGGAAAGCGTTTACCCAACAATAAATGACATTAGAATCATCTACTGCACATATAATAGTCTCACCTGTGGTATGTTTTGAAATAGTTAACACTTTGTTTTCTGATAGATTCTTGCAAAACTTCAGACTTACTGCCACAAAATTCTTCTCCAACCTGCATCAGCCTAAAGTAATAAAACAAAGTTTAGACATATTTACTGATTTCTTAATACTGCTATTCCAACTGTGAGTGTAGATGTATCTTCATAAACACAGAGTACCAATGTTACATTGCATTGTTAAGGTTGCATTCCACAAAAGTCCATGTCTCATTTTCCTTCAAATCCTACCACTGTGTGCCATACACATAAGAGACAAAGAGCCATAAGCAAAATAAATGTATTTTTGAGAGCCTGCTACACAGGGCAAGCTGCCAGTTCACAGTCTCAATCTGTCATTTTATTACCAAAACAGAAAGATATCAATTGTACAGGTTGGCAGTACCACAGCATTTTTCTGCTTGACTCAGACTTCCTTTAAGAGCTCTTAGAAAAAAAAATGAGTAGACCTGCATACCCCATATCTTAAAAGGAGACAATACTGAAGTCATATCACTTATGCAGCAAAGTGGTTCATGCTACTCCTCCTAAATACATCCTCATAAACTCTCACATATAGAAGAATTGATCTTCAAGCTACCAGCACATTTGAATGAAATTAGCACCAGAATGCAAATATCAGCCTTAATCAACAGTGCTATCTGACCAGAGCTCATTTGTGGACATGTACTTAGAGGTCTTACGACCACACCAGCATACCTGCTGATAACATCAAGTACAAATATGAAGTCATCGTATTTGAAGTTAGACAGATCTGTTCCCAGAAGATACGTTTTCACTTTCAATTGAACATCCTACAAAATACAAACAAGTTTTTCTATAGTTAATACACTGAAGACAAAAAGTGAAAGTTTGGATGCTTGGTTCACTAACGCTTGTTGGTTGCTCGCACTTAAAATTTCTTTGAGATTTAGAATAGAATTCCATTTTCTGTAACATGGGTAATTTCTCTAAAACAATTTTATAATCAGTTTCTTTAGCACTCTATAGCACAGATAGAGTCAATCCTAGATGCTTTATCGTCAATGCAAGAACAGAACTCAGCTTTTTCATCATACATTTTGGGTGACACTGCACATCCAACTGATCCATTAATCACACCAGGAATACCATGAAACCAGCCAGGTTCACAAGGCTCCAGTTCTCCAGAGTTATGGTTATACCAGAAATATAAAGCAGTATACAGAGAAAAACATATGAGACGAAAACAGATTGTGTGGCAGCACACAGGTTGAAAGAGATGGAATCAGACTAAAAGTCCTGTTACTATGTTTTGGTATTTTGACTGAGTTTGGAAGCATTGCAACCACTGAGTCATAGAAATTAAATTTCCATGGTCGCTTTAAAAAGCCACTTAAAAAAAAAAAAAACCTAGAGACATTTCTTTAAAAACATTAGTATAAATATAACCATAACTAATATTGGAGAGGTGGAAGGGAGGGATTAAATACCTAGAGGGAAACAAAATTCAAAACCCATACCTGCCATATTCGTGAAAGCCCATGCTCCAATTTCTTTTTTACATAGTTGCGGTCAAAACTGTTCTCTTCAGTTCCAATCACATTGTTGCCATCTGAAACTTCAGGTTAAAGGCATTCTAAGTATTTCCAAAAGCTTTGAAAGTTATCCTATGCAGAATTACATTTCCTTTGCCATATTATTGATTATGCAAACTCCAGAAGAGCTACTTTTCTCTAAATTTTTGAACAGAAATGAATAATGCACATATAAGCATATAAGCATGATATGCAAATGCAGACCAGGAGAGTTTCATCTCCTGGATACCAAATACCTGTCCCAGCAGTGTTCCTTAGGTAGTAATGTACTGCAGGGATCACAGTGAGAAATTTCTATCAACAAAATAAGTGCTCTTTCCTTGTCACGCCTTGCCCTGAATCCAGACATTTCAGTCTAGATGAATATCATGCAAATATTGTGAACACCTTACTAAAGAGGCCAGTAAGGAATGGGATGCTGGATAAAAGATTTTTTATCAGCCTTTTCAGATGTATGCAAAACAGATCCTGCAACATTGCCTGGACTACCACATATTTAAGAGAACAAAAGAAAACATACCTACTAAAAGGAATTATGACTTGTATCAAACACTGACAATTCCATAAAACAAAAATAACAATAGAGCACAGCAGTCTGACCATGTTTTCATTGTATCTTCTTCAGGACATCCAGTGTTCACTGTCAAGTGAGCAATTTCCTTCTGTAACAACCACCAGTTATAAATAGCACTTAGCAGTGCCTCATTCTCCCTGTCCTAGGCCAGTTTCTTGCTAAGTAGAACAGTGTCATCCTTCTCCTCATAAACCATCTGGTTTCTGATTTGAACCTTTCCAGAGTATGTTTCTCAGAACAAGAACTATTACAAAAATGTTTATATCAGCTTAAGAGGAACAACAAAAATATTGTATTTTCTACATCTGTACCTCCATTTAAATTCAAAAAACACATGTGGGGAATATGAATACTGAGAAGGATGCTGGCCTTGCTTGATTTCTTTCACATGGAGCCATAAGGTGTGGCTGGACACATTATTAAATTATGAACTTTATCTAACACTGAGAAAGCTTTACCTGTAAACTAGGGATTACAGCAGTGAACATACAAACACTACCAAGAACTACTGGCATGCTAGTTGAGTTAGTGCGCCGACAAGGCTGAAACTCAAGAACACAGACCCAGCACAATAACCAGCCAGAATGCAAAAGTTTCTGTACTGTGAATTGAATAACTCCTCATCAAAATTAAAAAACATAATAAAATACAGTCCAGAATTTGGGTTTATATTCATTTTTCAAGGCTGCAAACCTGTGTTCAACTTTTCGTGTGTTAAGACATTAAGACTGCTTTTGCAGGTTAACTGAGAATCTACCCTAATAATTCAAAATTAGATTATAAAAGGCTGTTTTATGTGCAAACACGACCTAAACTTAATTCCATACTATCTACTGTTGCAAGACATGCAAAAAAATGTCCCTTATGAATGAAAAAATCATAAAACAAATATTACCCACTGCCTACATAAATCATAATTTACTAACTGTACCTAAATATGCTCATCTTCTGAAAGTAATCATTCTGACAAATTCATTTTCCTGATCTTCCACGGAAGATTAAATGAAACACAAACAGAAAGAATCTAAGAATCTAATTTCTATAACAAGAAAACCTCTAAGTGGATTTAACCTTTCCCAGACTATCAAGGAAATAAGACCAGCAATCTTAGACACAGCACACTCTTTGGTGTTTCTGCAACCTCCTCTCTTTTAAGCTTCCACAGACTGAGGCCAATGCTAAACAATTCAGTGTCCTTGACCTGTTCTCTAGTCCCTGTACTCACAAACTGCCATTCATGAAGGAATGGCTGGACAGACACTGCAATATGGATGTTATTGATCACTAAAAAAGCAATGGAATATTCTGTCTCTTGTCAGTCTCCCAATGGCCTTGGTTTATGGCCAGTCATGCCAAGAGGACTTGTTTCCAGTCTTTTAATGAACTGCACTGCAGCTAATTTCACACATGCAAACACATTAATTTAGGACAACTTCCTTGAAAATCAAGGACTGCACAAGCGTTTACACATTTTGCAGTGAGGAATTTGGAACAAGCAGAGAACACATATATTCATAACTACACATAAAAATAAGGATCAAAACCCCCCAGGAGTTATTATTCTAGATGCCTGATTTAAATACAGTAATTCTCCAGGTTTTTCAGTATTTCTCAAAATTCAAAAAGGCAGTTTTCAGTCATAACAAAAGGTTTTTGTTTAATCCTTGCACAGTAGAGGAAAGCAAATTAAAGGACTCAATCAAATCTCTGTCTTCTAGCTTCACTCTTTGAATACTAAACAGGTCTTGCATAGAATTTACACTGTACTATAAACGAAACATTTTGAAAATTAAAATTATTGAAATTGAATTTACATCCTACATTATCTTCTCACTTTTCTTTGAATCTTTTACAGATACTAGAGCTGATACCAACTTTTACCCCTAGGATTACCCATGTGAAATCAGGAGTTTAAATGCTACAGTGATCATTTTACCATTCATTTTCAGGTCTTCTGCTAAATCTTTGTCTCATTAATACATAAATTCCATCAATGCCATAGTAAATTTCGTGCTTGCTATGTGAAAATCCAGCTGAACCAGGCAAGCCCTCACACAAACCAGTGTGACTTCGAAGATCACTCTGCTTTGAGCAGGGAAGACAAAAATTATCTGCACAGGTCCCTTTAAAACTCATTTTCTATTTGATTCTTTACTAAAAACATAAACAATGCTCTGACCACAACAAGCAGTGTAATGGAAAATTTTCCAGTAAGTAGTTTATTTTGAGGAATGAAACCCCATATTATAGAATTTGCTGTTTACCAGCAAACAACAAAACCATAGACTAAGTAGCATCTCATTAAATATGACATAGAATTAATTTCATGTTATGTTGATAATTTTAGTTCACTTTATCTTCGGTTTGATTAAACAAGTCCTACATATACTTAATTCTGTCTTTCCAAGGAGTTCTTCTGGATAAGTTTCACTACTAAAATACAAAGAGCTTTATAAATAATGTCTTTCAAGTCCAGTTTCTCACATCTACAGTTGTACTTATGCCCTAAAATCAAGAGTCCCTTGACACATTAAAGTACTTTCTAAGAGTGCTGAGATTAACTGGGACAGCTATGAGTTCCCAAAATTATAAAAGCCAGACATAGTTGTACATCTACTGCTCCAGTCTGTGGGGGTTATTTGAAGAACAACTTCAGCATAACCTCCTGAACTGCCTCCCCGGTTCCCTCTGACATATATGCCCATCCTACAGGAATTTTACTCTTTGACTTTACCACACATCATAGTCAGCAAGTATGAAATGAGAATTCCCTGTACAGTTTCAATAATTACTGTAGAATAAGCAATGACTTTTAGAAAAAAAAAAAAAAACAGTAGATATTTACAGTCCCTCTGAAATTAAACTGTACTTCTAAAATTCCCTTGTGTGCTTTACCATTGCTGAGGTATTTGAAAAAGTGATTCAGTAGATGACTACATTTCAGTTGTACATTATAGCTAAGCCATATGTACAGAAAATTAAAAACTGAGTGACAGAAGGTTAGTAGTAAACATACCAAAACACTCTGGCATGTATTTAAAAGCAGTGCATCTAAAATTATGCATCTGACTGTATAGATGACTTTATTTGGCTTAATGGCTTCTGTAGAAGGCTTTAGAATGCAAATTGTTTTCTCTTCTCAGGATGTCACAAATAACAACTCTAAGGAGAATTAGTTTTATAAGTGCATATGTGGCTGAATTAGGATCGACTGCAATCATTTTTCCATGCTCTTTACATGAGCATGTAAAGCACCTGCTTGATTTTACACCTGCAAAAACCACAGCAAAATGGACATAAGAGAAGAAAATGTATCTTATTTAAACTGTAAATGTAAATATTATTGAGAATGGGCAATTCAATCAAAACTCTAGAACTTTTCTTCACACCACACTGCAAAAGCAAATATTTAGACTCTGAGTTTTACATCTGCTATAGCTATAAAAACTTACAACTCAAGCAATGGCTTCAACTCCAAAAAGAGCTCCAGCAATCCAAAATATTTTTTTTACAAAAAAAATAGTTTTTTGCTATATTTTTTTAAGATTCCACACAACAGGGGAAGGACATTTTCCCTAAGCACTGTTCAAAATAAAATAATTTATATCTGCAAGACTGACACATACAAATATTCATTTAAAAATTAACCTTACACCAAGAAGTAAAAAAATCCAGTGAGTGCTTTAGTCCTTACTGTACACTATCAGCAAAAATGCTGAAGGCACTGAGTCAAGACCATGAAGATATCAACACATAAATTAATAACTTGAGCACAAGAAAAGTTATTTCCAAATAGCAGAAGTTTAGTTTCCAGAAGTTTCTTACCAGAAGACACAACTGCTGCCTCATCTTGGTCGTGGTTCTCATGCCACTGCATGGTCCGGTAGTAACTGAGCATGACTTCCCAAAGGGCTTTGCAGAGATCAGCAAGGCATGGAATGTAGCTGTCTGAGGTAATGTGCTGCAGAGCAACAAACAGCATTGACAAACTTCACAATTGTGTTCATTTTTTGCTGCAGCAACACAGACTGTAAGAAACTCTTCAAATTCATACAGCTGAGCTGAGATAGATCAGTTTCATGTTCAAATGTATTTTAAGAAGTGACAGAGTCCTGATTTTGGTCAACTAACCAAATGCTGTCCAAAAGTATTAAGTGCTTTTGTTAGCACCTATTTTTTAATTTTCTCAATTGGCCTGTATGTTAACTACCTCTTACATTTATTTTACAGTGACATAGATACAGATGTAAGGCTATCTCACTATCAGAGGGATGCAGCCACCCCTGTGTGTCTGTTCAAGGACACAGACTTTTGTACTGAAGTGTGACAGAGAAGCCTTCCTGGCAAATATCCCATTGGGTTGAACGATCTTTAAAGTAGTAGTTAAAAAAAAACAAAAACACTTGCTGAATCAGCAATTTTCTCTACTAACTTATCAGTAAATGCTATTCTTATTTCAGGGCTTTTAGTATCCAAAATCAAAAGTTTTCTTGTGCAAATCACTGTATCTGAAGACCTAATGACTTTCAGTGGACAGGAAGAAAGGATTACTTACTAAATATCAAGGTAATTCCATTTAAACTAAGGAAACAACCTATTTTCTTTGAGCTTATATAAGAACAAAGAAAATCAAAACTTGAGACTAAAGCAGCAAAGCTTTGTCCTGCTTCAGAAATATTCAAAAAGAAAAAACATGTAAAAGCATGGCATATTGCTAAGAACAGAAAGACTCAACAATGAAACAGTGACTCTGACTGCACAGGCACTAACTTTCATAAATGCTTAAGAATTTCTGAAAACATTACTATTTTTAAAGGATTCACATTATTATAATATCCAGTTCCTGACTTCCAAAAAGATGCAAACAAAACAAAGAAAAAAGCCACTACAGTCCCTCACTGCCCATGTACAATGGAAATAAGCTAGATGAGTTAATTTTGACAGATTTTTAGAAACACACAGCAGCATACCTGCCTCAAAAGGAATACTTCAATTTTATATGACCTCCCCTGCTTAATTAAAGTACTCCATAACCCTTTACATGTTAAGGGCATGCTGGCTTAACAGCATTAGGCAGCCTGAAGAGGGTTCTCACTTAACTAAACAAAGAGAAAGAGGGCTCATAGTTCAGTTTTGAACAATTTATTCCTCAACAACTGAATGTATGAGATGAAAACCTGCTGTTTTTTCTACAGGAAGTTAAAAATTGAATTGCTATGATACCTCATCTTATTCAGCACCCTGATTTCACAAACACATTACAACAGGTAAGAACCAACACTGAACAGCATGGTAAGAGACCAGAATTTCCCATCTGCAGCCTGTCCCTAAATATCTAATGGTTACCAAGATAGTAATGAAAAATTTAAAAAGTAAATTTCAATGTAATTGCAGCAATATTCATAGCAGAATCAAGTCCCAAAATCTGAGTACCTTCCTTTTACAGAATGCCAGCTACTGCAGGCTCACATTAACTTAAGCATCATATATCAGATTTTACATAAGACTAATAGAAATAATGAGGAAATAATTTTGTAACCATGCAGTTGAAGCCACACTCTTTCTCTGTATTACAAAATGTGGTATTTCCAAGTACCTGAAAGATCCCTCCACACACTCAAGTATAAGGATAAACAGCAGAACAGCAACACACAACAGCAGAAAGATGACAGGACTGCAGTCTAGAGAACAAAGATCAGTGTTTGCTGGCTTTCTGCAACTAGAATTCATCTCAGTGAAGTGGAAATACCAACTATCCAGAAACTTACTCCTTATGTTCATGAACACTTAAGTCAATTATTCCCAATAAATTTATTTTGCTTTATCACACTTTCATTTATATGAAGGCTCTTAGATAATGTAAACTTTTTAAGTCAGAGGCACCTCTTTACAATGAAATGGTTTACAATGCAGATGTGTTGTTTACTCGTGGCAGCTACTTGATCCCAGGAGAGAAGAGAAGTGAAAGAACAGAAAATGGATCAGAATATGAACATTAATCTCCTTGTGACTATAATTCAATTTTATAAATTGCAACTGATGAGATGGATCCTTAAGTTTATGAAGCATGATGAGCGCTCCATCTGTGACTGAAACAAACATCCTAAAGAACATTCAAGATAGAAACATAATTTCAAATTGTAATTCAACATTAGCCCCCTAAAATAGCTCACATTCTTCTTCCCTGTCACTGAAGTTTTAGAAAATTTCTCAGGATGTAACAGTAAAATCCCAAATGAAAAAATTAAAAGAGTGAATTTAAAAAATGCTACATTCATTCTAAAAACATCACAAAATATGCAAGAAACGACACTTAAAATTTGCAGCAAATATATGTATATTCCCAGCCCATGATCTGCCTATCATCAGGCTTTCACATAGCTGTCCCTTATCCTGGTATCAAAAGTGCAAAATTATATGTGAGAATGGAAAGTGAAGGATACAAAGTCAGGAATAATGGGAAAACACCAATTAAATTGAATCTTCACAAGAATTCTTACTGAAATGCAGTATCAGAGAAATTGTGAATTCTACCTAAATGCACTGGAATAAAGTTCAAAGATAATAGTTATTCCAATAACTAGTATATCATACTGAAGACACACATATTTTGAAATGTTGGTCTTTGTTAGATGGAGTGCAAGGTGCTAGGATTTAGTGCATTCAAAATCGATACTAAGTTATGAGTAACAAATATCTCAAATAATCATAAGCTGTATTAAGTAACTAGAGTAGCTACAGGGTTAACAACTGAGTCCCTACTGACAAAAAGTACACCTACAACAGTGAAAAAATTCAGATTAAAAACCATACATATATGCAAGAATTACATACTGTACAGAGGTCTTTGTACTGTAACTTCTGAAACTTGGTGTCTGTGTTTCCGGCACACAGCTCCACATATCCAAGAACTACTTGAAACACAGTGTTGTGAATAGCTTGGGTGAAGTGCATATGTAACTGGTCCATTGCTGTCTAAAAGAAACAGAGCAACATAAAACCAAACTGTAAAATTCAATTTATATGCCATCATCTTTTAACATAAATCTTTTTCAGTACTGAACACCTGTAAGCATGTCCTCCAATCTCTGTTTCAAAAATACCTAACATAGATCTTGGCAATATTACAATATGGTCACATAAAAGAATTCAGGTATTGCAAGTAAAATCAGTTTCCTCTGCCATCTTCCCTATTTACCTTTTTTTATACACTGTCACTAGTAAATATTAATATAATATAGATAATTATAGAATTTGCTCACTCATTTACCCTTCTCCTAATTACTGATAACATGCCAAAAAAAAATTAGTTGGGATTCATGCTCTTTTTCCCACTGGAAACACTGCCCATTAAATCAAAAATATTTCTTTTGCAATCATTAAAATTAAAAGCACAATTACAAAGTCTTCATCCACTTGCCAGAGTGAAGAACCCAAAGTACAATTAAGCATTATAGAAAGGTAGGCACATCATATAAATAAATTTCCTATAAAACTCCTCTTTTTGGTAGGAAAAAAACCCACTTTAAAAAAAAAAAAAAAAAAGACTACATTTTCCAGGAAAAAATTACATGTACTAAGGACTAATGACTAGGTAACATATTAGTTTTGCCATAATCATGTCTGAGTTTCAGGTCAGGATGTTTCCCAAGCATCCCTGTTCTTAATAAATTATATGTAACATTATTCCATTTCAGAAACTGAATTTTCTCACTGTTTCCACATACACATAATCAGCAGATTTGAAAGTGTTTAGTTTCACTACTTCCTATTTGACATTTTTAGTTACCAACAAGAGCTGAGAACTCAATCACTCTACAAGAAATGAAGAAGCAATTCTGCTTAAATTAAAACAGCCCATCTTCTATAGCTAGTCCTAACTTGAATTAGCTAAAGAAAACAGAATGACAAATGATATAATGAAAAGTACTGAAGAACCTTGACATTTTGTTTACTGAGAAACAGTCAATATGGGAGAGATTTGAATAAAAATGCAACTAAATTATTTTCAGGACAAATTCAAAATATGCACTTTACTAGTAATAAAAAGAATGCCAAAACCAACTCACTCTATAATGGAACAAAGCAAGCAAAACCATGCAGTAACAAATAACACTTTTGTCAGAAATTTCATTCCTCTCCAACAAGTATCTGCCTTTCTCAACGTGTCATGTACTTGACATGCAGTGAATGCATTATACCTATTTTTGTTCAGTAAATAAGAAACTGAATACAGTGCACTAAAAAAATGAAAAGTCTAATTAATCTTCCCTGATTTTAAGTTGCAGTCTTTAGGCATTCCAATAGTTCTGCACATTAACAAAGTATGGAAAGATAAATCCATTTCTATCCTACTGCAGAGCTGCACTGGTTTTACAGTCAAGCCAGGGAAAAGAGAACCCAACCTACAAAGGTTCTAATTAAAAAGAAGCAAAACAAACAAAACTTTAAAACAAACCAAATAAAGGCAATCTTATTTAGATATACTCCTGAAATTTAGAAAGAGCATTAAAAAAGCCAACCATAATAGAAAATGATTGGGATTCTTGTCCTGTCTTCACCAGAGGACAGGTGCTTTGATTTCATCTTTAGCAACTAAAGGCTTCTGGGGCAATCTCTTCCCTAAGGAAATCAATCCTTGTTAGAACCAGCACCACCACGTTCAGTCTGTATGAGCACTGACCACTGACAAAACATGCCTCCAAGACTTGCATGTCTCCTCATCACCTTTACCTCACAGGACCTTGATGTTAGCTCCCATACTTCATTCCTTCTGAAGGGAACAGGTCAATTGCCTTCTCAGAAAAATAAACCAATATGAAGCCTCAAGACAGTGCACCAAAGAGAAGAAAACCCCATCCTATGGGAGAACCTAGGTCTACTCCTCTATACACAGAAAATGCTCTAGACACACACAGATGTAACTTTCCAGACATGTCCACAGTATGTGTTTGAGGTGCCATGGGGTGTACTTTACTGCAAAAATCTATCCCCTCACATGCTCCATTGCCATCATGTTAACAGTACAATATAAAATGGACATACTCAAGGCAGAGGTATGCACAACCCAAAAAAACAGACCTAGCTATAAAAAATAGTATTCACATGACCAAATAGAACGAATAGTGCCAACAGCAGTATAAACAGAGCTGAAATATATAACTGTTATTGTTATGATCTGTCCAAAAATCTACATGTTGCAGTAACACAGAGCTTATCTTTAGCAATTAAATGTTTAATTATATGAGCATTATAAAAGCCTCCATATACATATGTTTGGCAAGATCCATCACCATTAATATGCTGGTTTTGGCTGGCAAATTCACAGTGCTACTGTGAATTTTCTTCACAGTAGCTGGTATGGGGCATGGGGCTGTGGTTTTGATTTGTGCTGGAAACAGTGTTGATAATTCAGGGATGTTTTACCCATTGCTGAGCACATCTGACACAGGGTCAAGATCTTTTGTGCTTCTCACCCCAACCCTGCAGAGGAGGGCAGAGATGTACAAGGAGTTGGGAGGAGACACAGCCAGGACAGCTGACCCCAACTGACCACAGGAATATTCCATAACATGTGGTGTCATGCTTAGTAATAAAAGCTGAGGCAAGAAGGAAGAACGGGGGGGTGTTTGGAGTGATGAAGTTTGCCTTCTTGTGGCTGTTACACATGATGGAGCCCTGCTGTCCTGGGGATGACTGAACATCTGCCCACCCTCTGACTTTGTCATGGCACCAAGGAGGAGGAAGCGAGCAGCTGTGAGGGGCTTAGCTGCCACATGGGATTAAACCAGACAATTATGAAAATAAATTTCCATCACAGTACTCAAAGCTTCATGCTGTGACATGACTATTCTTTGTGACTTCCTCAGAAGGTAAGTACTAACCTGTGTTTTTCCAAGCAGCCTGTAAGCCTGCTGAACCTTTGTATAATGATTGATATCAAAATTCTTGCATATTTTGGAAAGTGCTACGTCCAATTGTTCCTATAAAAATGGAAGAAAAAATGTGTTAAACACTAAAAAAAAAAAAACAGGCCAAGTAATACATTACTTAAACAGCATCAAGTGAGGAAGATATTTATTTAAACAGTGTGGTAATTATGGTTGTAAAGTAATCAAGACTGTGTGTGACTAGACTGTTCTGAGGCGCTTAAGTGTTACTTCTCACAGTGTAAGTACTTCAGTGTCAGCCACAGAGTTCCACCACTCCCAAGAACAAGTAAGAATACTGCAGTCAAATTCAAAGTGATGTTTACTTTGAGAAGGCCAGGAACCTCAATATGGCAGAGCTGGGATTTCTGAGTTGGTATACTTCAACCCCTAAGAAAAACCCAGATCTGGGGGTTAATTAAATTACAGACTTCTTAACCCTCTGACTGCATCTCTTAAATTGAACTAACACTGCCTAAATTAAAAGGTTATTGGCAAGACAGCCATTTACAGAATACTACATCAGCACAATAATCAGTACCTGAGAGAGTCTAAAAAGAAAGTAGACACACAAATACAGGTTCTGCCAGCAGAGCCGTGTCTGAGCATACTGAACAGCTCTGCAAAAAGTGAAGTTTGCCTACTATGTAAACTGAATGAAAAATAAACTTCAACAGGATCATGTATCTAATAACTAATAAAGCTTTCAAGAATTTGTCTATGTAGGCTTAATAACATAATTCTCATGTAGATACTGTAATATATTCAGATACACAACCTATTTTTTCCCAACAATGCAAAAAATAAAAACAGAATGAATCCATATCATAAAATAACATACACAGTTAACAAATATTTTCTTTCACTGCTAGATACTAAAATCCTTTCAATTTTTATTATTTTATGATCTTGCAATACAGTATTGCTCTTAAAAATAGAAACCATAGTAGATGGGTGTTTATGTACTTTTACTTAATCCACTGGAAAATTTTCATTAATTACATCATTAATCACAGAATATTTTTGGTGTTAAATCCTAGAAATTTGGTGGGAGTTGTTAATTGTACTTTCTTCCCTAAGCCAAATGGTAAAAGGATAAGTAATCTAAAGATTCAGAACTTCTCTAAAACATTACTCAGAAATTTGAATTTCAGACATATGCTCATTAAAAAAAAAAATTCCTTCTCTTGTTTCTTGCAGAACACCTGTACAAAGAAAAAAAAACGGGATATCAAACTACCCATGAACAGAGCTCTTAAACAGAGAACATTAGTGTTTTCTGTTACATTTTCTATAGTTCCTTCCACTAAAACCATCTTGCATTCTATTTGTAACTTAGTATAAAAGTAAGATCTATATTAAAACCTAAATTTAAAAAAGACAAGAAAAAGGAATGGACTTAAGTAGAGGCACTCAACTATTGAAAAGGCTCATTATTGAAATCCTCAGTAGCAGAATATTACTCTGTGTTAATTAGACCATGTATTTCTCAGCAATACTCCATGGACCCCAGGATGTCTTATGCTTCTTCCATATTCACAGGCATAACTCCAGTAGAAAGTAAGATACTTTTACAGGAAGAAAGTAAGATTTTTTTATAAATTTACAAGTAATAAATAAGAATCTTGAACATGATCATTTAGCTAGCTGTGAATTGCTTTCACCAACCAAAATAGCATATTTTATCATATTTTAATAAGACCAAAATTTGCTCTTCAAAGCTGTTACTGGAAGGAAGTAAAAATGTGTGTCTCTTTTTAAGCAACATCAGCATTTGCTCACAAGGAAAAAGCTGAGTGCTCACTCTTACACGGCCTGTGTTAGAGTGGGAAGAAAATAGTCATTCCACCAGCTCTTTTGAACTAGACTTGCTCTGAATAAAGCACTATCAAAGAAAGGCTAAAGGAACAAAATCAGCTTTACATAAAAGCTGGAGTACAAAGAGATAACTGAAGGAAGCTGACAAAATTTTAATTTTACAGGGAATTAAATAACAAGGTATTATAAAACGTGCTAGTCTGACTTTCTGAAGAGCATGTGACAACAGGTGTAGACAGCTGCTCAGATAGCTAATTCAGCTTCCTGGTAAACATTTCATGCACATGCATTACATGCATCACATACACATTATACATACCTACATTGCTAGCAGTCCTACAAAAAGCTGGCCAAGTTCCAGCTCAAAATTACCTAGTACTGGAGTTCAAAGCATTCCCTTTTTTTTCCACCAGTTTCCAGGAAGACACTTAACATTTTATATTCCTTTGCTTTTGTGATACTATCTATCAACTTCAACCAACCTTAGTCTCATCCTTCACAGCTATTCACATCTTAGTTCCTACAGCTTAGCACTGGTCCTATCCAGCAGTTTCCAGTTTGCTGACCTCTAAAATTTCCTGTGAAACTGTGATCTCTCGTACAGTTTATCCAAATCTACTGTCTTGCTATTAATTTACTTTTCACAGCTCTTCAGAAGTTCAATACTTCAAACGCTATGTGACTTTTAAATTTGACTGCTCTACCATTTAGAGTGAGCACAACTAGTGAACTGGGTCATAATATAACATATTACAGAGCACTTAGGTTGATTACAGCACTAAAGTCTACATGAACAGCAATGGCTATAGCATCCAAAGAGAGTATCTGAAAGAAATGTACCCATTCTATAATTGTTATAATTACTGGAAAGCTGCAGTACTTAGAGATTAAATACTAGCACATATTTAGAGATTAAAAATTAACATATACTAAACATCAGTATATTAATTCTTACCTCTATTTGTTCCAAAGTGTCTTGCAGTTTTGAATTTAACTCACTATTGATGAACGAAAAAATGTATAGAATAAAATTACTGATTATATAAACATTTCAGACCATTTCTTATTTCCAAAAACCCTACAACTGAGCCACAACATAGTAATTCATCATAAACCATTAAGCTGCTGTTACTGTGTCAGACTAGCACCATCACACCACCGCTATGTTGGAAAGCACATTATTCTAGGTTTATAATGCAACAGCATTAAGAGGGTCTAGACAAGACTCCATCCTGCTACGATTTAACCAAGAATTCAAAGAAATTCCCAACCTCCAAGAAACTTGCTTTAAATGTTTTGGTTTGGCACTGTGGTCTACAGCAGAACATACCCAGAAGGTCAGGGTTGTCAAGCCTTTGCAAACTACAGTAATTTTTATTTGTTACTCAGGAACCCCTTACAGAAATGCTATCAGAAAAAGATAATTTAAGTTTTCTCAGAAAAAAAAATAAAGTTGGTATAAAAAATTAACAAAAACAGCTATCGTAAGAGAAACTATTTAGAACAAAGAAAGGCACCACTGCACCTTTGCAACAACCAGCTTTAAAAATTTCAGAACAGCAGCAATAAAAAAAAAAAAAGAAAAAAACTACTGTTTTTGTTTGGAAGGGTCAAAGCAACAAAGAAATAGGCAGGATATTATCAAAAGACAGATTCTAGCATCTCTGCTTAGTTCTCTATGCTTAAATGATATACCCATCACCCTCCTTTTTTGTTTCCATTAGACAAATTGGGTACAACACCCTGCAAAGAAAAGTTTAAATAGAAAAAAGAGGAATCAGAAAGAACTGCCATTAAACACTAAAGAGAGTAGTCAGTGTTTCTTTATTGTTTCTCCACATGTAATGAACCTTCAAACAGAAAGACCTCCATAATAATCTGATGTTACTGCATCCCCTGCTGGAGTTTATGAGCATTTCCTGCTATTTCTTTTTTTATTTTTAAAGAAATGTAAATATTAAGTCTTTCTACATAAGAAACTGCAGATATTTGTATTAGTTTTGGTTTTGAAAGCAACTTCTCCATGTCAGCATAAAACTCTGCACTTGCTACTGGCATTGACAAGAATCAGGGTGTTATCCTGCACAATCCATCTTGCTATAGGCAAATTAATTCCAGAATAAAAACTTCTCATTAAAAACTCAGCTCATGTATCTCTAGGTGGGAGGCTGTAGCATAGCTATAATTCACTTTAAGTTGAAACTTTACCTGCCAACACATTAGAAGAGTTACAAAACAATTATATAGTCTAAACATTGATCATGTGCCGTTATGACTGAAGACTGGTTTAGTCATGGTAGAGGGAGGTGGGTGAGAATACAGAGAATACTTACGCTTTTATAACTGCCTCGATTTTACTTTTTATGACTGCCTCAATTTTACTTTTCTAAGCTGAAAATTACTTTTCAATTAAACTTTTTTTAGAGAATGAGAATCAATGACCACAAATAAAATCATAAAAGCTGACATCTGCACAATGTCAACCTACCTTATACAACTGTAGTGTTTGAAAGTGCTGGCAGCTTTCTGGCATTCCAAGCACAGTTGAATAGCTCCTGGATAATCCTCTTCCTTAGGATAAAATACAATTGAAAGCTCATCTGAAGCAGTAGTGCAATACCCATTTTTGCTTGCATGCTTATGTATAAACATTAGGAACAAATATTTTGCCTCTCCTGTCTATACAGTAAAGTTAAAGAGTGAGGGTCTACTGCAGCACTTAATGTGCAGGTAGTTTAGAATTACCAACATCTGAAAACACTAGGTATTACATTACCTTATGCAAACAACTTGCTGTATTGTTTCCTTATCCATACATAAAAAATACATCACAAAGTTTTTATTACAGAACAACTAACATCTTCCCAGTAATCTAATCATGGAAAGAGTTTAACTCAGGCACTGACAAGCTATTCCCATTGTTTATAAAGCATAAAAGGAGAAAAGGAAGACTTCCAACATTATGCCCAAATAAACACTATTTAAATTGATACATCCAGCTCATTAAAAATCAGCTTAAGCATAACTGACTCACAGAAGGCGTCACGAAATAAAGAACACACTATGGATGCACTGTCCTAATATATAAGAATATCCAATAAGTAGACAGCTCAATCAGGAATTATTATGAGGATGTCAGGACAAAACAAAAACACACACACAAAAATGTAAAACCCAAGATCCTACCAACAAGACATAGGCATTGCCTCAGATATACCTATTGCTTTGGTATTCTATTAGACATGAGACCAGAAGGAATCTTGGAAGGAGAGAAACCCTCTTTAATAGCTAAGAGCTTCTGGTTTTTGTCATAATTACATCTGTTATATTACATGCTTTAGAGAGCTAAAATGCAAAGCTGTTACTGGAATTTCAGTCATTGATTGAAGAGCAAAAACGCAAGGGTAATTTATGTTCAGCTATTATCATAGAGTAGTTTCTAAAATTAAATTAGTTTGAACAGCAGTGTTCTAATGCAGATCAAATTTAACTAAAAATACACAAAAAAAAAAAAAACCCCAATACATTATCCATTTGATGAAAACAGAACAGTACGCTGGTCTAAAAGGACTGCTGCATTTTTATCTCCTTACATCTCTCTCCACTGGAAACCTGTACTTGCTCCAATAAGTCTAACAGGGCTCAAATCAGAAAGCCTGCTTGCATAAGATATGTTACTAATATATTCCAAATGCAGCTCAGCCCTGTAAGCTACCGTAGCTTCATTCCAGGTCTTTTTTTAATTGGGAACCCTTTCATAATGCTCTTCTCTGCCAAAACAGCAGCTCCAGCCCTTAAAAATCACTGACCAATTATGGTAATTAGACATTAGGGTCTGTGTGTGAATGCAACAACTACACTTCCTCAGGACAATTCTGGCCAGTAGACAGTGAAGAGTTAATTCCCTGAGTACCAAAATACAGCACAGAAATTAAAAGCTAATCATTGTACAGGGCTTACTGAGCAGAAAGCATTTATGCCACATGAAAATCAGTGCAATATTGCTTGGTAAAGAGTAAGAAAGTTTGCTGAAATAAGGCGATTTACTCAAGATGGAATTAAATTCACAGAATCTTGAAAGCTAAAACTATTAAGATTCAATTTTCAAATTTAATAACTGGGGATTGTCATCATGACATTCCATCCAGTATTAGTTATAAATATTTGGCAAACTTGCAAGTCAAAATTGTTATGCCACCATTACTATAGCTTTCAATAAAATCCTGAGGCTTTCTTTCATACAATTCATCACCTCAAGGCAAGATATTATTGTGCTCTGTGCAGCATCTACTGCATTTTTAGGCAGCATACATAACAGCATCAGAATTTTCAGTGTCATGGCCTGCATGTTGCAATCTTTTCTACAATTGAATTTAAAAAACAACACAATGAATGAAAAAAAAAATAAAAAGCCAACACAATGACAGAAAGCTACTACATTTACAAATAAAAAATGAAGCAGGGATCCCATCTATAAATTTGTATAGTAATATATCAATAGAAATTCTTTATCCAGACCCAGCTTATCAACAATCAGCTAAATCTCATATTTTTTTTCTTTTTTTTTTCCCAAATATCAAGCTAAAGAAAAGAGTTGTAAGTTGAGAGCAGGGATAAATGAAGATCCCACAACATCTTTACTGAACTAACACAAGCTTCAGTGCCCAGTGTAAAGACAGGAATGAGTTTCTGACCGGAAATACTCTCCCCTGGCAGCAGGGCTATCTAATTTGATATGAAGCTTTTCCAATTTAAAACAAGAATAAAAATATAATTTCACCCCATGCACACATCCTGTTTGCAAGACAAAAATTAAGATGACTGACAAATGTAGACTTAGAATAGCTTCAAATTATACCAGTGTGGTAGGGACTTACCTCCAACATCTCACTCAAACGCACATCAGTTCTTTGCTAAGAAAAACCAAAAAAAAAAGCAAAAAAATAAAATCCAGTCATTACTATGCAGAAATTAAGAAAAATATTTTTCACTGAACAAAAACAACTGTACATACCAGTGTTTTTATTGTTCTCAGAGATTTTAGCAGTCCAATAAGCAACTGTCGTTTCCTCTGATTTGCAAGGAGCCCCAAACTAGTTTGTGTGAACCCTTCCTTTGCTATATTCAGGTGTCTGCAAGGTAAAAATTAACATAATCTTCAACAATTCATAAAATAAAACTTACTTCTAATAATTTCTAACAAGTCCAACAAAATAAATGGTAGAAGATAAATTGTAGCATTGTTAGGGGAACTCAGAAAACCAGATTGCAGCAACAGACAAATAAGAAGGTACATCCTCCCTTCTGCACTTGTCTGTGGATCAGTGGTTTATCTCCAAAGCTTTCTATTTCAAAGAGAACTACCAATTGCAAAGTGAGAGCTGCAAGAGTTTGCAACAGTTTCAGTTATCTCTAACTACAACTGTTAATAGCATTCAGCACATGAACAGGAAATATCATCAGCAAGCAAACTTCCTGGGTTTACAGATCTCCTGTCAAATACTTCCCCACTTTCAATCTCTGAAGTTCCTTAAGCAAGATACCTTCTTCCATTTGTGCAAATAACTGCTGCTAGCTGAAGGCCATTCTGCAATGATGTAACACGTTCAAGTTCCTACAGAGACAACAGGTTAAACAAATATACAAGTTAAACAAATATACAAGTTACACACCAATGAAGACTACTGATTTCTCTTGAGATGTTAAAATGACTTTACAGTTACTTCATATATTATTTGTTTCATCGTTTTATATACACTAAGTACTACAATGTAACATTAACATAAACTATATTTTGAAATACAATTCTCTTTTGAAGATAAGATAGTTTAAATCTGTTTTCATTGTAGTGGGACCTTCTACATTTATATATTGCACATTTAGCCTAAGAATTTCTATATCATTAATGCATTACAACAGAATGATCTCTGAGATGTTAAAATGACTTTACAGTTACTTCATATATTATTTGTTTCATCATTTTATATACACTAAGTACTACAATGTAACATTAACATAAACTATACTTTGAAATACAATTCTCTTTTGAAGATAAGATAGTTTAAATCTGTTTTCATTGTAGTGGGACCTTCTACATTTATATATTGCACATTTAGCCTAAGAATTTCTATATCATTAATGCATTACAACAGAATGATCAAAGCTTCAGGGATAGAAGCACAGGGCTTAATCTACATTAATATGCCAGAGAGCAGCAAAACAAAAAACACAAATTATGTTTCACACAGCATTTTCTTGTTTAGAGGCACTTGTTCTACCAATTTAATAGATGTCATATCATAATGAATGTTAATTGTATCCTGTTGACTTTCAACTGAAAACTCTTCAGCAGAGGTGACCTGAATTTAGCCTGATTTTGACTTAGTGAAGTACCTAGCATAATCTCAACTCCTTGAAAAAAAAATGTTTTAATACAACTATTAGGACTTCTTTTGTTAGAACAGCTCTGCAGAAAAGTGCATTCTTTCCCCTGTGTCGTGGTTTGACACGGAAAAAGAATTCTTACGGAAGGGAGAGGTCAATTTGGACATTGACCAATTGAAGGTAGACACACCTCTGAGAACACAGAGGGGTTAAAAGCAGAATTCCCAGGAGAACTCGCTCTCTTGGGTTCCAGTCAGCGGTCAGTGCAGGACTCTCCCCTGCCCGGCCACGAGCTGGGTGGGGGAGGGGAGAAGCCATGTGGCCTTCGGAGGTAGGCCCAAGGGTGGAGGGACTGGAACCGGGCTGGCCCCCTGCAGATGGAAGGGTGGAGAAAATCTGGGATGTCTCCGTTCCCCCCAGAGTCTCTCTCTCTCCCAAGAGAGAAAAAGAGACAGCAGTGGTTTTATCAGCAGTTCACTGCAGGGATGGAGAAGAGCGGGGGGGCCGCAAGGTGCCCAGTCAGGCTGTGGGAGCTGGAGCCTGGGCAGCAAGCCATCTCTGGGAGTTGGGACTTTTAACCCTTCCTGAGAAATGAAAGCTTTGTGAAATTTTTCTCCTCCTTGGTTTGAAAAGAGAGGAAGAGAGACAGCCTGGGACCCGGGATGTTGGAAGGAGAAATTCTAGGTGGGAGGAGATGATGGAGTGGCTTTTGGCCTTGGTAGCCACAGACTGAACTGATCTTCTCCTCCAAAGAGAGACTGTATTTTAGGAGGATGCCGGTGAGCCAAAGAGACCTGCTTCAGCTGGGAAAAGACAGAAGTGGAGCGAACAGAGAAAAGTTAAGGAGGTTTGTGGTGGTGCCCCCTGTCTTCACAGAGGAAGAAGAGAAGAAGATCTCTGTTCTTGGACCCTTGGCCCCAGGGGAAAATGGGGGGGACTGTGGTCCCAAAAATGAAAAACTGAACTGTTGTTTTTTCCCCTCTTGGCAGGGCATCCTTGAAAGGAAAAATCCTAAAAGCAGTCTGTCCATCCATGCATTGGTGGTGAGAGCACTGTGCATGGAAAGGAGAGGGTCACCACTGGCAAACTTTTTTCTCCAGGCGGTGCCATGTGGTGACATGGAAGCACAGGATGTGGCAGCTGTGTTTCTTGGGGGGTCTGTGGCACAGGAGGGACTCCTGTCTCCCTGCAGATGGACTGGGTGTTGATTATCTGGAGGGTGGAAACCTGATTGGGGTCCAGATTGTCTCTCACTGTGGTTTGTTGGAGTTGGGTGGTGGGAGGAGGAATGCTTTGGAAGGTTTTCATTTTGAATTGTGTGTTTTCTTTCTTCTTCCGCCCCCCCCCCCCCCCCGCTTTTATAGTAGCATAGTGGTAGTAGTTTAATAAAGTTTTTTTCTTGTTATTAAGCTTGGGCCTGCTTTGCTCTGTTCTCGATCGCATTTCACAGCATTCAGTTGAGAGATTGCATTTTCATGGGGGGGCACTGGCATTGTGCCAGTGTCAAACCATGACACCCTGGCTTTCCTACAGAAGAAGAGTTTAGTTTGTTTGTTTGAGGGTTATTTTGGTTTCTTGAGGTTGTTATTTTTTTTCTGGGTGGGGGAGGTTTGTTTTATTTTTTAATTCCACTCATCATCTCAAAATGTATCAAGTGCTTTCCATGAGAAGGGAGATTTTCACTTTGAAAACTCATCTAACTCTAATAAAATTACAAGCAACAATTAGTTCAAAGTTCAGTTCTAGATCAGGTCCTGGTCAGTCTACAAACCACTGAGCTGCATCTTCCACCACAACCTGCTCCTTAATGTTACCAGTGTTGCTTTTTTATAAATGACAGCCTTGTTGCTGATATGCAAAATACCTTAAGAAACCAAACTGGAAGATTACTTTCCCCAATACCTACTTCTCTCTAAAAACATACTTTGCAAATACCAGAGCTATTCAAAAAGCCATTGTTCCCTTGTTCACAAGGAAACACATACAATAAGGAGCAACTCCACTCCAGTCCTGCTTCTTGCAAAGACTCTGTAAAATCTCTCCTTTGAACACAACTGGATGGAGAGGAATGGGGACAGAGTGCAGCCTAAATATTTCCAAAGAGGAAGTCTTCTGCCCACCATTTAGGGCTGAATACAATTTTTTTCTTAAAAACAGTCTTTCACCCACTGGTTCCTTCTAAAGCATGTCTTTCTTCCAAGAACAGAAAACTGTAAATCCCTTACCCTGTGTCTGTACCGTGCCTCTTGTGGCCACAGGAGTGCCTGTTAGACCAGTACTTCACACTAGGCATAGGATTCAAACCATGATATCCCTAAATGACAGTTTGAAAATGTGTCCAGGGCATGTGTTCAATCGCAGTTTTGGCTCTTGTAATGATTTGTTACTGCAGTTTAACACTGAACTGGAACTGCCATTACAAGTTCACACAGCACAGCAGGAGGTTCATTTCATGAATCAGTGGTAAAGTGAGACCTATAATGCCCACCAGAAATCTCCAAAAAGTCTACTGACAAGAAAAACTCTGTGCAGGCCTGTGCCCATAAGTAACACTGAAGGATTATCAGGCACAAAAGAATTTAAGAAAAGTTTTTAAAACATTTTTACTGGCACAATGGATTTTTAACTGTCCTTTTGGAATATTTGAAAGCACTTCTAGGTATGAAACAGGTGCACCTCACTAAGATGCTGCAATAAGAACATCAGCATTACACAGCAAAATGCAAGAACATTTGCTGCAGCTCCATTACGCAGTGAGAGGTTTTCAAAGTGAAGCTGCTGGATTCAGAAAAAGCAGCACTCACTCAAAACTATCAATTTCAAACCCTCAAAACAGTGAAATAATACCAGAATATTTTTATACCACACTATTACTCTTTCTCCTCCTTCTACACTATCTTGTGAAGACTCAACGAGCAGCACTTACTGTACAGTAGCACTTATTAGCCTCCTTCTGCAATAGCCTCCCACCTCATCACTCCTTTAACTAAAACCGAAACAACTTTACTGTTACAGCCTTTTTCTTTCACCTGCTATTGCAGGAGATGATGCAAGCATCAAGGGCACTTCTCCACCCTCCATTGTTCTTTAAACATCAGCACTCCTTTCACCAGATAATGATGCCAGAACATGGATGGCAACCTCACTACAGCTGGATGCACTGGCCATAAGAATAAGAGAACAAAAAGGATGTTGTGTCCTCTGGGTAAGAGGAAAATGATTGCAGCTCCATGACATCTACCACAGGAAGCCATCTTTGTTCTTCCACGTTCTCTCCAGCTTCTTGCCCAAAGAACTGCCATAATCAGCAGTACAACAATGGTGATATAAGGTGCTGTACACAAACAGAAGTATTAACCACAGGATCATTCTCTGACTAACTTAATAACAATCACCATTTTCACTTTGCAGAACTGTTTGGACATTACTCTCGGGCACATGGTGTGACTTTTTGAGATGGTTCTGTGCAGGAGTTGAGACTTGATGATCCTAATGGGCTGCTTCCAACACGACATATTCTGTGCCTGTGATTCTCACAACTGTCTGAGATTAGTGGCAGTTAAGTGATCTCCAAAAAGATCATTACTGCTTTCTCTTATGGAATAAGATGTGACACCACACCTAAACCTAAACCTAAAGCAGCTCCTGTTCCAAGTCCTTTAAAGGTATTAGCCAAGCCTGTGAATTCATGAATTCTGAATTCTTCAGAAAGCCTTGTAAAATGACCATATGCCAAAACCTTTATCATCTTAAGGACTTTCAACTCAATACACCGTTGGTTTTCACTACAGAGACAGAGCTTTAGCATACAAAAATAGCTGGTTCCAAGCAGGCACTATCACCCCCACCACAAATCACTATAACGACACAACTCCAGCATTATAACAGCACAAAATTGAGCAGTTTATTCTTGAAAAGTGTTAGTTGTCTTACCTCAACATATGCAGGCTGTTTTTCAAGGATTAAATCTGCAACTTTCTTAGATACCTTAAAAAGAAGAACACTCCATATGATACACAGCAATCTCAATTAAATAGGCCATGCCCATAATAATGTTCTACAAGCTTATGATTCTCTACCATTAAGTTCTGCATGCTTCAAATTTATTAATATATACTCCACAACAACACATAAAAAGTTGTAAAAGTTATGATCAGCTTTCCTTAGAACCAAGATAAGAGAAACATTCACAAGTCCATCTAGCAATTAGTGGGCATTTTTAGACTACTCACTTAACTCTCTGCTTGTTAAGGAATGCGCTAGAAAAGCAAATAGAAATAATTTGTGGCAAGTGTTTACATTTTGCTCATGCTATTCCTAGAGTACAAATTTAAGTCAATGATATAGCATGGTGTGCTGGCTTGTGCTGGGGTATTCCATTTTCTCCAAAGTACTTGGGCCGAAACCAGTTTTGATAACACAGGGGTGTTTCAGTTGAGCAGTGCCTGCAGAAATAAAGGCCTTTTCTACTCCTGGAACTACCCCATCAGCAAGTGGGCTGGGGGTGCACAAACCTTTGAGAGGGGACATAGCTGAGACAGCTGACCCCACCTGACCCATGGGATATCCTAAATGTACAGTGTCATGATCAGCATATACAGTTTGGGGAAAAGAAGGAAGGGAAGCATGCTCAGTGTGATGGCGTTTGTCTTGACAAATAAATGCTACACATGATAAAGCCCTGCTCTCCTGGAGAAGGCTGAACAGCTGCCTGCCTATGAAAAGCAGTGAATTAATTCCCTGTTTTGCTTCACTTGCTTTTGTTTTACCTACTTTTTAGCTATTTGTTCTCTATTATCTGCCTTTATCTCAACCCGTGAGCTTTTTCACTTTTACTCCTCCCATACTCCTCCCCCACCCCACTGGTAGAGAAGTGAATGAGAGGCTGTGTGATACTTCATTGCCATCTAGAGTCAAACCACAACACCTTTAACATAAGGACACCTACCTTTGAGACTGATACTGCATTAAAGTAAAACGATGTCAAAATGAATATGCATCCTCTACGTATGATACCCTTTCTTTAGTACACAGAACATGTATATTTTAAAATTTTCTCCACTGCTCTGAGTATAATTCTAAATAGAATGCTCCTGAGAGCTGCTGTCTGTATTGAATTTAAAAACCGAGCATTGCTACCTTAATCAATCTCTTGTCCACAAACACAGAAGCTTAAAAAGAAATCCAACAGTAACAGTCTTATAAATGCCAGCTTGTGCACTTATAGTGTATTTAGTTTTGGTTTTCATCAGGGACTAAAAATACTTAAGAAATGGTTTCAAACATAACAAAGAAATGACTGGTATTGCTCTATATTCTTTTCGGGGAACAATACTCCCAGAGATGGAAATAAAATAAAACTGGCTATGACAGCCAGCCCACAATGCACTACTGGCAAAGAGAAACAAAGAGGTTTTTATAAACTTGACTGCCTAGGCAAACATAGCACAAATTTGAGCTCTTCAATCAGCATTCCTGTAAAAATCTTATATTGGCTCCACCAGCTCAATCCCATCCTCTGGAAGAGCACTTGCACATAAATGGTCTTTGAAGTATTCCAATGTCATCAGGGGCAATGTGGACAAGGGGCATATACCCAGCTATGCTTCCTCCTTCCATATCAAAAGCAGGCCAGAACCACAGAGCAATCTTAAAACTGTTCAGTTGTTCTTAACCTTTTAGTTGCTCCATAACTAATAAATCTTTCCTCTGTAGGACAGCAGAAGAACCACTTCAGAGCGAGGTGGGGTCAGGATAGGATATTATCAAGCCAAATGCTACACAAGTCTGCATGACCCTGGGGCTTCACAGTCTATGCACTGTGAAATTTTCACCTTGTTTTTTCAACACATTCTTCATTCTGTACCTGTAAAAAACTTCAGGACATGGATATACCTGCTAGTTATTCAATGCTCTAGTACTGTTAAGCAACATTCAAGCAGTGCACATGAATAAAAGCTACATTTCTTTTTGGTTTTTACACTTTTTGTTCTCCAAGTCCTCAGTTTCCCTTGTCTAATAACGACCTCAACATTGAGAAGCACCTGCCACAGGCACTTTTCTTTCTTTCCCAGTACTTGGTGATACTACTTTTCTTTCTGAGGTTCCAAGCTATTCTCTCAGATATTTTTTCAGATAAGCAATACTATCCTCAGTTACTTCATTTATTTCCGAACTGTCACACCCCTTTTGGCATCTTCCATACAATTGTGCTAAATCTTGGAATCCTGAACTGCAGCTGCTAGCACTGAATGTGACCATGGTTATCAACGCCTGCCAACAACATTTGCTGAAGGGACAAACAATTTTCTCTTTCTTAATCGCATCAGTAAAAAATATTTCATCTCCTGAAGAAAAAAACAACATAGCTAAAGATATTAGACTACTAATTAAAACTAAGTCTAGCAGACATAAAACTAAAAAGCCTTTCTAATCCAAATTGTCTGTATCAAGATGATTACAAATTAAATTGGTTATGTACGTATATTAAAAAATGTTTAAGCAAGTTGAGATCCTTCCAGTGGAATGGAAAACTAATGAGAAAACTACAGAAAGTAAGTCTATAGTGACCCTGAAAACAATGGGATGACCAAGATCAGCTGTGCAAAAGCAGCAAGTCAGTGAAAATCAGAGCTCCAGTATCTGTAATTCACTCATATAATTGCTTTGCATTAGAGAAATTTAGAAGGTGGTATTATCTCCAAACTATTATTGTAAATTCCTCTGCCAGCTGTAGGTCCATACACTAAAGTGAAAACAGCAGTATTTAGTTTTTTACAAAAGCAGAGCCATTGTGTAATATGTCAACAGGCTTCTTGAATCCTCTATCTAATAATCTATTCACCATTAAAATATTTTTAGGACTGAACTAACAACATACAACATTCTGCAGTTTTGTCTTCCATGAAAGACACTAACATCCTTTAAGGTAGACAGTTCTCTAAATGACCTATCACAAGATAAATGGGTAACAACTGAGACACAAGAAGCAAACATGCAACAGTCTCTCACACTCTACCTTAAAATATGACATAAGAACATTAAATACAGTATATAAGAAATTTTAGCACTTTGGCACATGCTCAAGGAGGAAATAATTCCTTCCTATACCAGAAACACATATTCACGAAATTAAGAAATAAACAAGCAAGGACAAATCCTGACTGGGGAAGTTGGTGAGGGAAGAACTGGACACACACTTCTTGTCAAAAGTTTTAGCTTTGAGAGTTTTTACCTGTTTGTATTCTAAAAGAAACACACATCTGGCCATATTTACTGGAAGCCTTCTGCTCAGTTCTCTCCCCTATTATTCATTAGCTGCATGTACTTCCCAGTTCAAATGTTTCAGCAGCAGCCATGCCCTGAAACTACTCCCTCACCTGCAGCCAGTTCCCATCCTGCAAGCAAAAAATGGCCAAGACATTGATAACACACATCAGAATTATGCAGCATATCTCACTGAAGTTGTCTCAGCTTGAGAGCACTTCCTGGCAAAACAAGGTCACCACCAGAGGGCCTCTTAAAATTAAAAAGAAAAACCACCACCACCACAAAAACAAGCAAAAAAATTACAACCTCTCATTCACTTCCAACTTCTTTCCTTATAAATCTTGGTGAGAAACATAGAATATTAATTTCCTCAACTTCTCACTAATCTTTCATAAAACTTCATAGGTATATTATGGGGAAAGCAGTTTAATGCAGAAGGCACTTGTTATTGATATTAACTGTAATTGTTAACAATGCAAGATTATCCTATACATTCCATTTATTTGAAGACATGAATTAGGATCATTGCTTCTATTTTACTTGCAGATATTCTCCAAATGCCACAGTTAACAGATTTGTTTCCTGTACCGTGTTATCTATCTCAAAAGAGTAATGAAACAACAGTCAATACATTAATAGAAAATTTAAGAGTCTACAAAATAACAAGCACCTTTCAAACGCTGCAACTCCGATTTCTCCTCATTCCTCGTAGTTGCTACTCATTGCATTTCATCTGGTTTATTACATAATAACTCTGTATCGTTGTTCACTAAAAATCCCTTGTGAACAATTAATATATTGGCAAATAAAAGTAAGAAAAAATAGCATCTTCAAAGAGAGTTTTTAAAACATTTTAAGTCTTACATTGCCAGAAATCCCTCAAAAAGGTACTACTCCACTAGTCAGCACTGTGTTGAACATTACAAGATAAACATTCAAAAAGTTAAGTTTCTAAAGAAATAGTTAGCACATTTGGTCTCTGTTACAATACTTAATACTAAGATTTACTTCCATGATTTCATATGATTATACGATTTAGTGATAACTTTCCACTATAAAGGCACACAACAATATTTAAAAAATACTTAGTATCTAATGCATTAAGAAATCAAATTTTTTTCAGTTATACTTCTTGCTAGACTTATAGACAGGACAACATATTGTGTAAGGGTACAGAGGAAAAAACATTACTTACAGCAGCTTGCTGTTGTATTAGTTTGTCTCTGTACTCTTCTAGTTCTTGAAGACTAAGTACTGGAGGAAGCCTCTGCATTTAAATAATAATTTAAAATCAGTGAGAAATTATAGGTTTTTAAATCATACATAGCATTAGCTAGGCAATCAGTTTCATTAAAGAAACATTCTTATGGCTTCTGTAATCTAATTTGCAGAATTAATCCATTTTTTCAAATGATGGATACTGAAATCAATTAGTGTTAAGATATACAACAAATGATCATAATTGCCTCATGTAATATTATAATTACCTCAAAGTAATATATGTATACACACAACCACCCTATCACAGAGATTGTCTCTGTCAGTTTGCTAAAAAAATACACAAAATATAGAACAGATTTGGTTCCTCAGCAATCTTGACTTTTTCAGTACAGTTTAAATTACAAAATGCCTGTTAGCACATTCCATTACATTAAGAGACTATATACTATATATATGCACCAATACTCTATGCTAGAAGCTGCACACAACTGCAAGATGACATAGGGGAACACAGTGTTGTATTAAGACAAGATCTAAGAAACAAAAAATAGCTCATTGAAACAAGCATACTTTTGGTCTTCATTTATTGTTATGTTACCATTTTTTCTTTTAAGATGACAGCTTACCTCTAACTCATACTTCACAATATCAAAGGAGTCATTGGAAAAATAAACTTCTTCAATGCTGTTAATTATTTCTTGTTGTGCCTGAGGATCAGCTGGTTCTTCATGTAGTTCTCTGAGCTCCTCCTGCACGAAACAAAAAAGAATTTCCATACTGTAATAACACATTCTAGGAAGAATGATGTTTTAACAAAACTAACAACTTTCAAAAGCTACTTCCAACATTAGCACAAGAAACAATGGCAAAATACAGAAAGTACAGTACACTGTTGCTTGTACTTCCACTAGGGAGAGCAAGACATTGAAAACTTTTCAAAAAACATAGTGTAGATGTCAATGTTGCAGCCCACTTAAACACTTCTTCATTGATTTATGGCACCAACTGCATGTTGAGTCCAGTTTCTTCCTCCTTACCTTTAGAAATTCTATATAAACTGGCAGACTAATAATAAACTAAAAATAAACTGGCAGATTATTTTTCCAGAAGGAGAAAAAAAAATGCACAAAAAAAACAAATAAAACCTGAATTTTTTAAAACAGAAGAATCCTCTTTGTAAATGACACGTAAATAGTGTCATTACAAATGCATAACTTTCCAGTTCAGCCCTCACATTCACTGAAGTAAAAGTCATGCCATTAAACACTTGATTTCTACAGGTAAAACTTGAACAGATCTGCCTTCTTTGCACAAGATTAACAGCTCTCAGACTTGAACACAGTGGTCTGAGCAGAGACGTGCTGTCAGCTTTCTAAAAGCTAATATTCCAGAGATAAGCATCCCCCTCCTTGCTGTCATGATCTCCTCTGGAAGGTCTCCCCGACAACCCAGATGCCTCCAGTGGTTGAAGCAAACCAAGGACTGAGCCTGAACCTCCTCTTCCTCTGCTGCACTGGACATTGCAGCTAATACTGGCCCTCAACTGGATGTCATTCACTCAAAAACAATGAAAAATCCTTTATCAGGGACTCCAAAGGGAGAACTGCTAGAATATTCTTTCATCAAAAGTAAAGATAAAATGGATCAAATTGCTTGATAATGAAATTAAACTTTGGTGAAGCAATCCAGCAGACTGAAGAGTCCCGTAATGACCCTGAGCCACCCAGCAGTGCTGAGTTACTCCAGTGGGGCAAGGTGCTGGTATTTTCACCACAAAGAGTTTAAAGGTTTATTTTACCAGCTAGTGGTACCCGAATTTATACTAAGTGACTGAACATCCACTAAATTGCTTATTTTGCTGAGAGAAGGTCAATGTGCAGGCATTCTGAGGCGAAGTGACCCTTACAATACACAGCACGGCGCTGTTCCCTGCGCGGTAAGAGGCAGCCAAGGGGTCACAAGTGGGCGGCTTGGAAGAGCATCAGCGGAGCCGCTGCTCCTCCGAGATACTTCCCACAAGAGAAAAAAAAAAAAAAAGAGCGGGGGGGGGGGGGGGGGGGGGAAGCAAGGGGGAGGACGAAGGAAAAGAAAAAAAAAAGTGGGGCGGTGGGGAAATAAAAAGCAACGACTCCGTATCTCGCGTCCCCGAGCGGCCGCACGCGAGGCCGCGGGCAGGCCCCGGCGGTGCTCGGGCGCCCCCGCTGGGCCGCGGCCCGGCCGCAGCGGGAGGCTCCGAGCCGGGATGGGCCGCGGGGCACGGAGAAAAACCATCGAGGAGCCAGCGGAACCGGAGCAAAGCCCTCCAGCAGCCACCTTCTCCTGCCCCTCAGGCCCCAGGAACCTCCGATCTCCCCCTGAAACGCCTGATGCAGTCACTGCCACCAGCGCAGGAACGCAGCAACCCATGCCCAACCACAGAAAGGACATGGACAGCACCGACAGACCGAGAGAAACAAGGAAATAATACAGTTATATCGTTATATATCTGTAATGGTAGCTTTATAATGTACACCCCACTGTAAATCAGTTTCGCATCTTAAAGTACACTGAGTTTTAGCAATATGAAACTAAAATTAAAAATTATCCAAGACAGGCAACGGGGTCCACTGAACCACTGCAAAAGGAGTAACTGAATTTATCATCCAATATTTGCCTACAAGTTCCTGCATGGCTCTTTCCTAAAAGAAAAAAGATTTAAAACCAAAGGAGAAATGCTTAGGATCATTTGGAATTCTGGACTACTGATACCTTGTCATGTTGGTGAAAAAATATCTCAATACCATAGGTCAGTGGTGATTTACATCCGCTAAAGATGCATTAAGAAAGCCATTATGGACACATAATCTGGATTTGATCGGAAATGTGTAGGAAGTGCCTAGGAAAACTACTAAGAAACTATTTTATTTTGTCTCAGAAAGATCATTCATCTGAGTGCTTCTTGCCAAAACACAACTCAGGAAAATATTTATTAAATGACAAGGTTTTTCTTTACCTTGTTCATTTTTTTTCTAGAAAAACAGTCTAGTTATAACTCTCCAGGATAAATTTTAGCTCCCCCAATAAATTACATTATCTGACACCAGACTTTCTATCATGATAACCTGCAGCTTTCAGCACATCACACTCCAGTAGTTTGAAATAACCAACATAGAGAAGGCAAATTTATTCACTCACCAGTAAAGGAGGATATTATCCCTAATAAAGTTTATTTGCTGATATTCCATTTTCCTCCTCCTTTCAATCAGATACACAAAAACAATTTTACTATGTAGAAATAAGCCCATAGTTTGAGGGGTCTTGGCAAAGGGCCAGTTTAGCTCTGTGGACTTGGAACTCACACATTTAGTAGAAGGAAAGAGAGAAGCGCTATTAAATCCCTCAAGGTATTTTTCCACCCCAAAACTTATCTAGCTATTGCCATATAAGTATCTTCCTTAAAAAGAAAAAAAAGTCAGCATTAAAACACATTTATAATTTTACATTTTATGTTAATTCAGCAATTCCAAGTGCCATTCTGAACAGAAAAACCTGTCAAAAATTGCAACAGCGGGAATCTCATGATAATACCCTTGCAGAGAACTTTGCCATTGCTAAACAGAATTCGTTAGATACACAAGAAGTCAGGAAGAGCAGCATATTGGCAAGGCGGACCCCACAATCTTCACTTTAATCCACCTGTCTAGGTTAACACATGCATTCAGCAGTAAGAACTCTCCAATCAATAATGGGCCAACACAGCTTGGTAAGATACTGTTTCACAGGCTACTCATTTTCCCAAAGTTTTATTCAGCAAGAGACTTCACCTCCTACCTACAACTCATGTCACTTGTGGTGCCAATTGCACCTTTTTTTTCCCCAGTACTTCAGGATCATACTTTCATGGAAAAACAATTTATCCTGTCAGTTTACCACTAGTCCAACCTTCAGCAGCAGGCCTGTCTCATTATGTCACCTAAATAGATCCGTGAAAGATAGCATCTGGGAAGGAAAAGGAAGAAGGAAAAAGAAGTCTGACAGCTCCGCGTGCTCAAAGAAGCCATCACTAAACAAAAGTGCTTGCATCTTTCTCACATCATTTTGTCTTTCTCTTCTATGGAAATAGGAGTTTACAGTCTAGGCACCTGTGGCAATTCCTTGAAATGCATTTCAGAAGAGTCATCTCATTGCAGATTCATCTGAAATGCAGTTCAGCAAGTTTTAGATGTCTACACAGCTATTTCCCAGTGCATCACACTCCTACTCTCCTTGTATGCTATGTTGCCTGTAGCAGCAAAACCAATATTGCTCTGTTGAATGAAGCATTACTGGCAAGGAGTAGAAGCAAACACTTTCTGCACTCCAGTCACCATCACCTAAAAGACTGGGAAGTGAAGATATTGAAAAAAGTTAACCGATGCCACTCGGAGAAAAAAATTCTGAACAGTTTCTAATCTAGTTAAAAGCTGAAGTTCAGTAACAGCCTATGCACTTTTATCTGGAGATTACCAGGGGCCAAATCTGCGCTATACTGATTTGGACACTGCCTTCCTTTCTGTCATAAGCCAAAAACACACCAATGAATATGCTGATTATTTATATCCCTCCATTCTGAACATGGATAACATCTGTGCTAAAATCCAATCCTAAATATCAGGATAAAGGGCCGTGCTCAACAGATTCAATCAGCAGCTATACTGCAACACTGCACCACTGTGAAATACAAGTATTAAAGCATTTATATATGTATCTGTATACACACATGCAAACACAATCTTTGAATTCTATCTATATACAAAGATATATTTAGAGATTATAATTGTCTTATAATCACCGAATACACTGAGTTTGAAGGGGCTATATTAATGTCTATAATATAATAAAATACAATGTATAACCATATCTATAAACTTACTTTGCTTTTCCTTCCTACCCCTCCCTCCCCTTTCTCCAGCTAGGGAAGGTAGTACCACAGAGAAGTTTGTGATATTCCCTATATTTCACAGAAAATGCTCAGAACCTCCTTTTGATACCTACTAAAAAGCTCTCACTCTTCCAAAACAAACATTATACTTTGAAAACAGCTCTCCTGATGGAGAGAACAAAACCTATCCATAGAACATACGTTAGTCACACTACTACTTAATGCACTCCTGAAAAGCACTCTGCTACTGCTTGGAAAATAGAAATCCTGTATCTATAAGAAAAACATTTTTTAAAAATCTCAGTGTTATTTACCCTGATAAGCTACAAAGTCAAATATTATTTGTATATTGCATATGAGCTGATTATCATCAAAATAAACATAACCTAATTCAAAGTCAATTCACCATTAACCACCACACTTGAATTCAAGCACGTAAAACATCTACCTCAGCCTTTTGTGACAGAATCTGCTAACAAAACTGTTACCAGTTTGGGAAACAACAATAACAAAAATAATTCATTTCCCTGGATAATCAGGGTATGCCAATGAAGTAAGGTATCTCAGTCAAAATAAATATTATGTCCTTCTACAAATGACTTTCTCTTCTAGATATCATAAAATCATCAAAGAATCATCAGAAAATGATGGAAAGGATCTTGAAGATTATCTAGTTCCAACTTTCCTGTCGTGGACACCTTTCACTAGACCAGTTTGCTCAGAGCTCCATCCAAGCTGGCCTTGAACACTGCCAGGGATGGGGCATCCACAACTTCTCTGAGCAGCCTGTTATATCCAGCCTTGCAGTTCTATTTTATGAGACTTTATCAGACTCAAACTATTATACACTTACTTCCTACTGAGATACTTCCCTATGCGAGTGATTGGCTGCATGAGTCTGTATTAACAAGTTAAGTAAGTTTGCTGGTGATTTGCCTTCATATGATAAGAAATTGAACCTTTTCAAACTAGTTGCAGAACCAGTTAACCTGAGTGAATACACTCAGGTACTTACTAAAATGCCCAAATGCCTAACAATTTCATTGCCTGAAAATAAAAAAATTGAGGAGTACAGTCATCACTTCATCATGCTGGCCACAGTCAGCAAATGAACACTTTCAGATCTCAAGACCCAAAAGAATTTTGCTGGTTTTGCCCTCAGGGATGGAATGTCAGCATATTCTTTTTCCTGTCCTCCATTATTTCCCATTTGAACTCCAAACTAGTGAGGTAGTCCCTCATCTCAAAAAACATGTGTTTGTCTAACCAATGTTAGACAAATATTGTCATTTTACCAGTAATTCATACCGGCCCTAATTAATGCTGACCCTACAGCCTTTCATTCTGTATACTTCTGTATAGCTTTAATGCAGCTTTTGAAGTTTTCAGTAACATTTGCCCTAAATCAGTCTGGAGATAACAATTTGAATATGGAAGTGTGACGATGCAAGTGCAGCATCATAACCATTCTGTCATCAAAACAGCTTGACACTTTAATGACTCATGAGTTAAATAAAAACAGCTATGGTTTGATATATGTCTGATAAGTCTACACTACACAGTGTAGACTTATCAGACACATATCAAATCATTACAGAATGGAAATCCAGCCAAGATACCCTACATCTACTTTTACCAGGAAAGACAACTTGGCAAAAAACTGGTTGCTCAGGGAGTGGCAGGAATCTGCAATTGTGAAATTTATGTGATGGAGATGTGACAAATTTTTCAACATTGCTGCAACTGAAAACTTTTGGTCATTGATATCAATATATTAGCCACTGTTTAATAAAGTGTAAAGTAAATATACCAATTCAGAGACTCTTACTTGATTTTTGAAATAGACAGCATTGCTAATTTCCTGATCTGCCTCAGCACAAGCAACATATTACACAGTAAGGGAGAGACAAAGAAACACAAAGGGTCTTTCAGTTTGATTTTTTAACTTTTGTAAAATAGGTCATCTAAATTCAAGTCAGTAATTTAAGTATCTTATTGGTTAAAGGCAAAGATCAAAGTCATAGAAAATAATAGACAACAACCACAGAAGTCTTGTGAATCCTCCCATCAGATCAACAGGGAACAAGGAACAGCCAATTATTGTGACAATTGTTCCCTCACACACAGATTACACAGTAGGACTTGTGAGATGAGTGAGCTAGCTTCATTTAAATAGTGAGATCCAAAAAAATACCGAAGACTACTGCTATTATAAAGATTTAACTTTCAAAGTAGAACATTAAGTTAATTATATATGTTGAAGATTAAAATATGAAATTACAAAATACACTTACAGCACCAAAACCATGAAGAAACTAAATGTTAAGACTAGAACTATACAGGCCATCTACACAGCATCTATTTTCCAAAGTAAAAATCAAAAAAGCATTTTTCTTTTTTTCTTCTTTTTTTTTTTTTTAATTCACTCCAGCAAGAAACCTAAATAATATTAAGATCAGCATCCAGTGACAACTGTAAAGTTTCAAGAAAAAAATTTCATGCAAATTCATTTGGAGTTGGTGAACTGATTTGTCTCACAGTTCTTAATTCTTTCATTAAAACATTCTAAAAGACTATCAGCAAGAAATAAAACTGAAAAAAGAACAACAGTAAACCTGGTGTAAAAGAAGAAATGAAATCACAACTAAGTGTCATTTAACTATAAAAATGAAAAACTAAAAACAAAGGGAGCGGGAGGGGAGGGGTGTTGTATCATACCTTAGTAAGAGTCCGAAAGTTTTCAATAGGACTGAGGTCATTAACACTCTCCTGAGGACTTCTTAGACCCTTTAAAAGAATTTTAATAATCAGTTAAGTTTGATTCCTTTATGTATCTTACAATCAAGTCTTACAGGTCCTTATGAATACTAGGTATTAAGGTATCTACAGGTCCCTTAATGAATACTCTGACATGTAGCTGGAAGGCTGAGACCTTATTTTAGAAACATTTAAGCAAGACCACTGGTATATAAGTTATGCTCTATAAATGTATAAGCATTTCAAGTTTTATTCTGCAGTATGTATCTTTTCAGTACAGTTCACTAACATTTTCTTTATAAAACTCACTCACACTCTCCTGTCAATGTCCAGATGTTATCTTAAATTTTAGAATGAGCATGTCTCCAAAAAACATAGCATACTTTGTTCCATTAAATTAAGGATTTAATGGAATCAAATCACTGAATTCAATTTAGGTGCCAGCTACTCTATTGCAAGATTATTTCTGCTTGATGGTATATTTTTCTACTTGCAATATTCCACTACTAGGCCTGGCTTTCCCTATGTGTAACTGAACTGAAAAGGTTGTATAATCCACACTAGCTTCTTTTTATAATTATTACTCCTTAAAACACATATAGCCACATAAACAGCACGTATGTTTGTTGAATATCAAACATATTCACAAGTTTCATAGAAAGATTTGGGTTAGAAGGAATCTAAAGATCATGCAGTTCCGAGCCCTGCCGTGGGCAGGGACACATTCCACTAGATCAGGTTGCTCAGGGCCCCATCCAACCTGGCTTTGAACACTTCCAGGGATGGGGCATCCACAGCTTCTCTGACAACCTGAAACAGCAACTCACCATTTCAAGAAGCAATACCACAGAACAGGCTGCTTAGTATATCTTCTGCCAGCTCCCTAGGCAGAAATTAATCTACACATTCAGGTTTCAGATATGGCTCTAACTCCAGCTTCTCCTGAGACTTCAGTGTGTTCCTGTGAGTCACAAGTTTCAGGCAGACTTTCCCCCTGCTCTTGTGATTGATGTTAACAGTATTTTTTCCAAGCCCTTTCTGGTCCTTGGTACCTATTTGTAAAAGGACTTGTGAAAGTACTATGTTACTTTATGGTAAGAAAGTCTGTATTTATTCTATGAAACTGATGAAGTGTTGTACATCATTTCAGTGCTAACTATTTGACAATTTGATAATTTGACAACTGTTTCATCCTCTCAAGATGCAAAACCTCTCCATTCTGATTCTCAGATTTTGTTGCACGTCACTTCAAAACACCCTCCCACTGCAGTTGCCACCATCGAAGATGACTCACCTCTACGCATCAGAAATTCAAAGTAAGAACAAGCAAAGCAACTACTGCAGTTTCTTATACTTCACACAAAATCGTCCCAAGTCCTCTGAAAAATAAGCAGTTCTAGTGACTTAGGTCCAGAAGAAATAACAGGTTCCACTTATTAAATGGTAAATGGAACCTAATCCTTCCAAATGACTGAAAATGATAACAACATTAATGGTTGTTATCATTTGCAGAAAACATCATATCCACGCTGGGCAGGCTTCCCAGCACTCCTCCTAGTCAAGCTGAAAACAAATCATGTAACCCTCTACTGAAGCAGAACAGATTTCATTCCACTTTCACACAAGTGTTCATTTTTAAGCCCTGCCTCCTGCATAAGGATCACAACTCTGAGGGCATAGTTTTAGGGGGGAAAAAAGCTTCTGACTTTCCCGTGATTTTCTATAACTATCCGGACTATCTGACATGGGTGACATAGGTGATTTTTTTAAGTTCTCCAATTAGACACAAATAAACAGGTTCCTCTTCAGGGTTATCTTATATGTGTGTGTAACTGGAGTGTTCTGCTGACACACTTCCTTAAAATTACTCTCAATCTTAGAACTATTGGTCCAAACGTAGGCTTAGATCTACGTAATCCTGGAGACAACAGGTACAAGCAGCAGACAGCAGTGAGCTGACAGACACACACCGAGTGCTCTGGCACACACTCACTATGTGCCCACCCAAATATGTCCCTGACACCTTCTCAGCTTCGCCTCCCTTTGGACAAAAAGCATTTGCTGCCGGACAGAGCTACGTTACAGAACCATAGCCCAGACAATTTTGAAATGATATGTCAAAAAAGCAAACTGGCAGGGGCCCGCCCTGTCATCTTCAACCACCATGTCTCTGTTGTGACACGAGCTACGCGTCGGCACCTGCGCACGCTTCCATTTCTCGGAAGAGAGAAACACGGCGGATGCGTGTGCAGCTCGCACGCCCCAAGCCTTCCCTCCCCGGCAGGTCTCCGGCGGCTCCCCGGAGCGCCCGGGCACGGCGGCCCCGGTACCCCGCCGCCCCCCGAGAAGAGCCGCTCACCTGGCGGGTCATCAGCGACTTGATCTTCTGCATGATGGCCCCGCCGCCGCCCCGAGCGCGCTCAGCGGCCGCGCAAGGCGCCGCGGCACGGCGGAGCCATGTTGGGCGCCACCTGACCCTGCCGCGCCCGCCCGCGGCTCCCTGGGAGCGGTAGTGCCCGGCCGGCCCGCCCGACTACAAGTCCCGGCAGCGCGGCCGGCAGGGCGGGTCCCGGCACTGCGGCTGCCCGAGTATTGGGACCTGTGTAGGTTTGGATGTGCTTAGCTCAGGGGATAAAGCGCGGCAAGCTGGAGGTGAAGAGAATTTCCTGGTTGTCTCGGGTTCTTTCGGGCGTTACGCAGAGAGCGCGTCCGGCCTGTTGGCGGGTGATGGATGTAGTTTTGCGTCGGCAAAACAGGCTTGTGTCACTCTTATTTAGTTGTATTGATAGCAACTTTAAAAAATCACGCACACCAAAACTCACCAGATGGCTTTTTAAATATAATTTGTGTCAGCACGAGAAAAGAAATAATTTATCCTACAGTCCTTGCTTAAGTGGAGGCAGCATTCGACGGTGCGACTACCGGCACACGCATTGTGGCGTGGTTTGTTGTGCCTGCAGAAAAAGGGATTTTTTCCATCCACTGTGGAGTGGTTGTGCCTGCAGAAAAAGGGGTTTTTCAATCCACTGTGGCGTGGTTGTGCCTGCAGAAAAAGGGATTTTTCCTTCTGGAGGGCACATAGGTCAGCTCCGCGTGTTTCCCGATCCTGCTGTCCCTCAGCGCCCAGCTGCTGCTGTGTTGATGCAGGGCAGGGCAGGTAAGAGCAGGTGTCTGTGAAACCACACACTGACAAAGGGAGGGTCGGGAGCCACGGCCCCTCCCTGCTTTCTTTGGCAGGAGCTCATTGCTTCTGGCTGCCATTGGAAATACCGCCTAATTGTTTTGTGGAAAACCTCGAACAAGTTCAGTACGTAACAAAGTTACTCCTCATTAATAAAGTAACGCAAATTTGCAGAATGTTGGTGCTGCAAATAGTGTTGCTTTAATGTAGTTGCTTCTATTCAAAAGGAAGGAGGTTCGATTTGTATTAAGTCTAAATGCCATTTAACAACTAGTGCAAGCTACAAGTCTACTGAAAAGAAAACCCGTTTTTCACATGCACGACATTTGTGTGGGTTCATTTAAAACTTGCAATATATTAATAACATCAAGAATATATTCAAATGCTGGAAATTACAGGACACAATTGAGAACATAACTGTGTTTATCTGTTCCTTTTTTATTATTATTTTCTTTGCCCATATGGGGCATTTAAAGTGCCAATACAAGTTTTATTCCTATGCTAAAGGTCCCATTATTTCGGTTAGAACATAGTTAGCATCTATGACAAATATTTTGTTACATGGTGAAATCGAGTAGATAATAATTTCTAATCTAGGTTTTATGAAAGGTTGCAATTTGATATATCAAACCTACAGTTAGGTGGATTAAGCAGCTTCTAAACAACAATTTTCATGTGGGCAGGACAATGGAGCCAGAAAGATTTTGGGAATATGTGAAATACCCTCTTCATCTCCTGACATATGTCGGGTGGTGATATTATTTCTGGTGGGATCACTGTACTTCTGCTTTAACCTGGAAATAACCCTTATGTTTCTTATATTGGACCTGGAAGCATCTGGTTGTTTTCACCTCTCTTTAACTAAGGTAAAAATTGGGTGCTCATCCCTTCTGATGGGGGTTTAGCACCTTGCTGGACCCCTGCTCCTAGCACATAGTGAGAGGGAGGCAATTCCTTCCTACCAGTTGCCCCTGCACAAAGCAGAATACAGTCTAGCCTAATATTTGTCAATCCATAATAGTCTGCCTAAGTGCTGTTTAGTGAAAAATATTGTGTGGTTTTGTATGGATAAACCATCTCTGTCACTGCTAATATTTGCTGTTGGAAACTGTTACTGCACAGCTCTGGGAGGGTTTGTCCAGTTTGCTGCTGATTTGTATGGTGGGTAACAGCTTTGGACAAAATCCAAACCCTACATTAATATTAATTTAAACAGTTGTAAGGTAATGGAGAAGAACAAAAATCAGCAGTTAACAACTGTAGTAAGCTGTCCACTCTAGCCATAGGATTTTCATTTCAAAGATGTCTCACAGGCACTTGATATCACATGTTGTTTAGAGAAAGGGAATTAGTTCTTTGCTGAGTTATGCTTATGTTAAGGAAAAAAAAATACATAAAAGTTACAGGCTTGAAAGTGCTAAGAAAAAAATTAGTAAGGCTCTTTATCAGCTGTTTAATGGTGGTTTTTGTAACAGAAAATAGAGGCTGTTCTTAGAAAAGTTCTGAAAAAATATTCTGAATACTAATTTTAGTTTGAAATAAGCATGTAGCATCACAGTATTTTTTATGAAACTGTAACTAAAGGAAGTTAATAACTGTATAACCTGTTCACTTGGTGCGTTTACTTACTTCTATTAATTAAATGTACTTTGTATTGTGTGCCCCATTTATTACATTCTGTGTCATATTTGCTGTGGCTGCTGGGAAGGGTTATGATAAAGTCAGAGGCAATGAAGATGGGTCCTCATCTAACAGGTGCTCCACTCCCTTTGTTCTTTGTATACACATATTCAAATCACATAAGGCAGGGGACAGGGTAGGACCTGTTAACTCGTTGCTGATTTCCCTAGCAAATAAACCAGCAGCTGCAGGTCCGAGCCCTGGCTTAGTGCTGAGAAGGTGGCATTTGTGTGGGACAGGATGCTTTCATGGAGCCCTTTAGCCAACTTCTTTTGGGACCTACAGTGCAAAATATATTTTCTGCTTGTAGGTAAGATACAGCATGAATTATATTTGATTGTCATTGTGGAAATGTGAATTGGTTCTATAAGATTTATCTTTATCAATTTAAAGATATTTCTGTTGTGTTGTCAGATGTTTGATTTCAGGAAGGTAACCTAAAAGCTGTTCATCAGATAGTGGCACCTTGTTTTGTGAGTGAAGCTAAAGTTTTAGCAGCTGAACAAAAATGAGTGCTATATATAATCTCTATGTAAAACTTGGCATTGACTAAATATTCATAGTCCACATGTAAAACACGGGTATTGCTTAAATACATACTATTACATTTTATTGAGTAACATATACATTGTGTATTCTTTTTAACCAGTAAGGCTGGACAGATTCTAAACCGATTATACAGAAGCTGTTACACACTTGTTTAAAAATTTATTGAGACAACACTGATACATTATTTTTCACTTCTTTATTATTAAATTTATATGTAATATCTAAATGTAATTGGTATTGAAACTAAATTAAGCTTTTAGTCAACTGAAGAATATCTCCCCATTAATAGTGCTTTTGTTTGGTGTCTGGGTGCAGTTTTTGTACATGTGCATTTGTTATCCATGTAATGGATAAAAAATAGATGTTCTATGTACTTTGACAGAAATATTCTGTGATCAAATGTTAGATAAGCTTAATTCTACAAACTACTGTAATTACCTTTTTCTATATTTAATTGGTTTTGTAAATGTCAACAGAGGAAATATGTAATATTACAAATCTAGTGCATCCTCTAATCTTTCATGTATAGGAACAACTTTTTTTTATCTTCTTTTTGACACAGTTCTAGCGAATTATAGAGTCACCTAGTTTCCTTGATTTTGGGCTCAATACTTTTTCAAGACTTTTGGCTTCATAATGATTTATGTTTTATATGATGATTATTTGATCTCTTCTTTAAAAATGAAAAACATTTGGTTGATAAAAAACAGTGATTTTGTGCTTTATCTACTTTACCACTTTATTGGATATTTTTCATTAAAATCCTACAAGAGTTGTTGTCATTCAAGCAGAGTGCTTTGAGTACAGGTTTATTCACCAGGAAGCCTTACATCCTTACCCAGGAAATGTGCTGCCCATACTTCATATCATGATGAGAATCAGGTGCATTGGAGACATGACACAAAGGCCACTGAAGGCATTGACCTCAGCAAATAAAATTAAATCCTGTAACAAAGCTCAGTGGAACTTTTTCTTGGGCAAAAATCCCAATCCAGGGAAGAATATTCCCAAATTTTCCATATTATAAATGGAGGTATAGAAATTGCAGCTTTCCTGGGCCATTATATCTGGGTTGTTTGGGTTTTTTTGTTCCATAAATGAGCATACTTGTAAAATGGGGGGAAAAAATATTTCGCTGATCTAGTGACATTTTGCACCAAGTTCAGGAGAGCTGAAGGGCTAAATGAACACTCTGGTGAAAAGCAATTGAGAATCCAAACTCACTTTGACAAGGAGATGTGCATGTTAAATTCAGAGAATGCTAAAATCTCGCTAAGCAGGTTTCAGTTTATGCCATAAACTCAAAAGTTATGTCATAGTTTTTTATTTAAACTAAAACTGCAGCCCTTGTTTTATGTCAACAACAATTCTGTTGTGCTTGCTAATACTGGTGATAGCAATGTGAAATGGAAGCAAAGCACAGATCACTGATCTCCTAATGGAGGTCGTTTTGGTACAGCTCTTACAATCATTATACAAAAATTAGGTCTTGGAATTCCATCATCTTGGGAAAAAAGTGCATTATATTTGTAAAGCAGTAGGGATAGGCTTGGATTTTATGGGATTTGGGCCTGGAAAATATTAATTTAGTTTGACACATTGGCTCGATTTTGCTATTAACTTTAATTCAAGGATTAGTCATAACCATCTCCAGTTTAAATTAAAAATCAAGATTAGTCTAATACAAGTGAATCATAGAAAACTTTAGGTTGGGGAATACCCTAAAGAGTATCAACTCCAGCCATAAACCTAACACTGCCAATTCCTCCATTAAAGCATATTCCTGAGTGCCACATCTACACATCTTCAAAGTATCCCAAGGGAGGATGACTCTACCAGTTCCCTGGGTGTCCCATTCTAATGCCTGATAACACTTTTGATGAAAAGGATAATCCTCTCAATAAAGAATATTCCAGACTGCAGAAGACATGATCTCTGCTAAGACCAGAATATTTTCATCACTGCTCCTGTAAAACCTTTGACAGAGCACCATTATCTAATAACTTGCCCCAGTCTCAGGCTGCCTTCTCCCTTGCCCTGCCAGCCATGGGGAAGTTCCTGTGGGATGCTGGCACTCCACAAAATCCCCCCAATAAAGCCAGAGAGATCAACAAGAACTGGAGTTATCCAAAGGCATACCTGAAGGGGTTGAGGGAAAAATGGGGTTTCTGGCCTCACCACCTCTGGTCCCAGCTAAAAGACTTTCCTTAATTGCAGATCAAAGTGTTTTTCCAAGACATTACACAGAGTCAATTTTCCCTATAAATCAAGTGGAAAAAAAGCTAATTTGTAGTTTCTATTCCAACAGCTTTTAGCTGCTAAAAAAGACATTTTCCAGCCCCGATTCTCTTTTCTTTAGTCTGTTATGCTTCTACCCTCCATCCTGGTCATCCCAATTATCTTGGTGCTCACAAGACCTGCTTAGGTTATGCTAAGTTTTTGCACAAACAGATCTGTGAGAAATATTATTTGTTTTCCATAGTTTATGATTGCACTGCTTCTTTTACTGGCATGTTGTCCAACAGCACAATCACCCATTGACAGCTAAATAAACCCAAAAATTGAACAGCATCATACATAAAGAATGAGTAAGTATATGGACAGATCTTCTAATTACAGATGGCTCTGTGTTTGAGATGTGTTTGACTTTATTCCAGTTGATCTAAAAATTAAAACGGATGGTTATATAATTGATAGGTAATACAAAATAGATCTCTAGCATTAAGCATTTAATGAAGGATTCTACTGAGGAGTTACTCTCTCTCTTTTCAAGTGGACAACAGCAGTTTAAATCTGATTTGTACTGTAATGTTGTCAGGGAGTATATTAACATCTGAGAAGTGTTCGAATAATCAACAAAATACTTAATGTCCTGTTAACCAGAGTCTGGAAATCCTTGAAGAGTTGTGCAGTGTTAGAAAATTGCAAGAATAACAGGATATAAATTCTGTTAAAAGGGGGTTAGGGGAGCAGGCTTCAATTTGATGTGCATCATCTGTTTTACGTTTTTCATCTAGAAAGTTAAGCATGTAAGGATCTCTGTCCTATGTATCCTCCACTTCAGCCATTCCACATTTTTTCTACACTGTTCCTCTTTTTTTTACCCTGTTCTCCTCCTGTCTCAGCTGAACCCCAGCCAGTCCTCTGTGAATTAAAGTCCATACAGCCTGAAGCCCTCTGCCTGCTTCCTCTTTAGCCCCATTAACGGGGGCTTGCCAGACTTCCTGTCAAAGGATTTCACTGTCTTTTTTTATATTTCCCTGTTAGTATTCTGCAGCATTTTCCTTTGGCTTCCCTGCCATGCCCTCAGAAATGCTGTAAGCTATCTTTAGCTGAGTGTAATATTGCTCAGCTTTATGAAAAGGGAAGCCAGACACAAAATTACTTTTTTGAGGTAGGTTCTGTACAGCACTGCTGACTACCCAGGACCCAGTCCACTCACACTCCAGAGTACCTCTGACATTAATTACTGGCATTACTACTGCATCTGTAACCACCACTCCTTTTTGTGTCCCCACCCTCTTTCTCAACAAGTTTTCTTTGCTATTACCTCATGGCAAACAACTGTGCACAGAAATTTGATGCTTCTAACCCAAAAGACATGCACAGATACCACATTATAATACTGAATTTATTTTTTTTCTTTATTTTCTGTCACATAACATAGGAAATTAGATGTAAATGAACCTTTCACAATTTCTGTCATAAAGAATAATGATATGAAAGTAGGAAATGTAAGAAACAAAGTTAACCCTGCATTATATGAATGAGCAGAGTCATTTTTCATACACTGCTCCTTCTGCTCTTCCCTACCCATCCAGCTCTTTCCAGATAGAAACATATTCCATGGACATCAGCTGGGAAGTTACTTTTTCATTACAGATATTTGGAAGCATGTCAAGAATCACAGAATCTCAGGTTTGAGGGACCTCAACGATCATCAAGTCCAAACAATAATGATCATTATCAGGAAAAGAATAGATGGTACATGGTGAAAGCATTGCATGTTGTCCTGGGCAGTGCATTCTCAGTCTCCAGTGTGTTCTTATGCAGTAGCAGATGGATTATTTAAATAACAGTTCTTACATTTCTTACTTATAAGAGGTTGCTTTTTTCCTAGTGTTTTTTGCCACTTGCATTGTGCTTTTTAGCAGTATTGAACACAAATCTGAACAATCAAACCTGCAACTAGAGTTAATTTGAGTAACATCTTGAACATACTAAAATGTTTTTATATGTATTTTGAAAAATCATACCCTTTATATTTTGAATTGGTCATCCAAATTGAGTCTGTATTTTTGTTGTTAATTTTTTCTAGGCTTAAATTATTCATCGCTAAAGTCCTATCAGTTAAAATGGTGTTGTGAGATCAGTTCGTTAATGTCAATGTTCATTGCTGTTTTCATGAGTGCCATGGAAAAGTTAATGTGAAAATCAATCAGTTAGTTTCTACATTAAAGCTTTAATAGTGTTTTATAAATATGTCTTAGGCCAGGACCAGGAAAAATTATTTTTAAAAGGTATGAGAAAGACAATGATTAACCAAGGAATTGCCTTTTTGCACCGTAACAGAGACAGAATTCTTGGAAAACAGAATTAATCATGTGGCTGAAAAATTCACTTTTGTGCATATCGACATCATGGCTTAATTCTGGCAATCTCCTAAGACTGGAATACTTGAATTTTGCAAGCTTTGTAATGTTTCTTGAATTTAGTCTTACAGGTGAAGAACAGTCAGCAATAATAATTATATATAGTTTTAGTCAGAATTTGTGAAAGTGCGATTTGTCAGATTTTCAGTCAATTTCTCAGTATAACTGGCAGGGTGCCTAAGAAGTCCTCTTCAGCTGAACCAATCCAGAAAAAATCCTAAAAACTGAGTTTACAATCCAAGGCTGTTAAACAGTGTAAGACCTAGAAATCCAAAATATTTTCAAGGGAAGATATTTTATACATTAAGGTAAATGTACATTATATATACATATTTTGGTCAAACTTTCAACAGTAAAAGATCCTTCCTTTGGTTTTTTGTATAATATGAGGCTAGAGCTCTGTAGTTAGATGCAGTCACCAAGGTCAATGAGCTTTTGCCCCTTTCATACTTAAAATCTGAGTTATAACTAAAAACCATGAGTTTTAGCCTTTAAATTTTTTTCACTGTAAGAATTTCACATTTGAATTTCCTGTGGTTTTCATTTGTATTTTCGGTTTGTTTATTTGTTTGTTCTTTCATTTTTATGCAGGGATTAGTTCTGCATTAAAATTAACAGTACCATCTCATACCATCCATGGTATCGAGGGGCAACCACTTCATCTTTCTGTTGACTACAGTTTCAATGCTACAGCTTCTGAAATCCAGATAATTTGGCTTTTTGAGAGGTCTCAAAGTAATCCAAAATACTTGCTTGGCTCTGTAAATCAAAGAGTTGTTCCAGACTTGGAATACCAGCACAAGTTTACCCTTATACCACCAAATGCATCTTTGAGGATTAACCCATTGCATCTCAGTGATGAGGGCAATTACATTGTAAAAGTCAATGTCCGTGGAAATGGGACCATAGCTGCAAGTCAAAAGATTCAAGTAGCTGTTGATGGTAAGTTAAAAAAGGACAGTATCTTCATTTTGAAAATAAAATTACAATAGGTTTGAAGTCCTGGTTCTTAGTATCCAGTTACAATGGTGTTTCATTTAAAGCAACCATACATTAATAAATGCAAACAATTAAGTTATGTTTTATTCTACTGCTGCTGGAGTATATGTCGTCATTAAACAAAATTAATACATTGATTGATGCTTCTATATCATAAGTAAAAAAACTGAAGAGGTATAGAAACATTTAAGATTATATTAGACAGACTTCTAAAAAATAAGATTTCATAAGTTTCTGCTGTGCTATATAATGAGGATGCATTGAATTTAAAATAGTCTTTTTCCCTGAACAACTTTACTCCTGTAACAAAGAGGAGCCATTGACTTTTTCTGGTGACTGTAGTCTGTAAAAGAAGCCCAGATCTGAATTCATAAATTTACTGAATTTCCCTCTTTAGACTCTGCTCTTTCTATTGGGTATTTAAAAAAAAAATGAAATGGGAAAAAATTATCTAAAAGGGTTACAAGAGGTTTCTATAATTTATTGATTATACAGAGGGAGCCCTGTAACTGAAGGGTTCAGAGCTGGGAGGAATGAGATGAACGACATCTTGAGGTGGCAAAGTTGTAGCTGCCATTTAACTCCCAAACCCATCCCAATCTGCAGACATCCTCATGACAAATTGCCCAGATTTCAGTGATGCCCAGTGTGGGCAAAGCTGCGGGCAGTCATGCTGAGAAATCACACACCTCTCAGCACTGGCCAGTGGGCATGTGGGCAGTGTCATGCTTTATGCTCTTTTCCTTTCTGTGGACTCAGTGATTTGTATATGAGGCAAGAGGCCATGGTACACGACTGCTGCCTCAATCCTATTACCAGTAATATAAACAGTCTGGTTTTATTTATGTCCCATAACAATTCTTACAGTCACCAGCTGAGAATATGGCTTTCTTTTTTTAACCTTTAACTACATTTAAGAGATAAACTTTGAAATATTAGTAATTTCCAGGGAGAATGATGATTGCTATTTGAATCATGTTGACTATGAAGACTGTAATATAATGGCTTGTCACTTTAACAACTCTTCATATTGCTTTATTTTACAGTTCCAGTCACAAAGCCAGCTGTACATACTGAACCATCTTCAGGAGTAGTGGAATATGTAGGGAATATTACCCTAAAATGTACTGTGGACAGAGGTACAAGGGTAGCTTACCAGTGGATGAAAAATGGGAAGTGTCTTCATGCTGGCCCTAACTATACCTTTTCATCAAACAATGCTACACTTCTAATTGTTCCTGTAGTAAAAGAAGACGTTGGGAATTACAGCTGTCTGGCATCTAACCCTGTCAGTGCAATGGAAAGTGAGATAATTTCACCAACCATATATTGTGAGTATATAAAATATTCATTATTATCTTTGCATGAATTATTTTGCTGGAAGGACTGCCTCCAAATATGAAAACAGACAGAAGACAGTGGAGTCAACATTGTATGTGAGCTTGCATTCAAAATGAGCTTGTTTGCAATAGCTCTAACTTTAGACAGGATAATAAAATTATTCAGTGTTGTGTAGTTGTGAAGATCAGTCTCAACTGCAGAATTCAAATAGAAACTTCAAAATTTCCACAGATGTCATCAGATGTGACTCAAAGGAAAAAAATAATAAGATCATCGTTATAAATGAAGACAACGAATAGTATCAAAAAGCTAAGCACAGGAAGTACCAGGCTGAAGGACTGGTATTAGTGGGTTTCCTCAAGATCATTTCAAGTCCTGTCTTTTTCAATACTTCCATTAATGGCACCAGAAAGAAGATAGGGAGTATCTCAATGAAATTCATTCATGACATTAAATAGGAGAACTGAATGACTTTGACAGAGTAGTAGAGCTGGGATGAGATTTGCTAGCAATGAAATAAATAGGCATGCCTTTTCAGAGAATAAAAAACATGAACTTCTGCTGATAAGATCAAGATTGATTAGAAAATAATCAAAGCAGTGACCCTAGGTGATTGAGTTATCACAAAACATCTATGAACTGACAGTGTGATTCAGGCATGAGAAAGGCATATTTAATACTGGGGAAGAGCGAAATGTATTTCCAACAAGGAAACAAGGGGAATGCTAATGGCACACAGAAGATAACACCACATGTGCAACCATTCATGCAGTCCCTGCAGATCCCAGAATGCTAGTCTTGAACTGGAAAGAAAGAAAGACAGGAATGGAGAAGAGACACAGAGACCTCAGTCAGGCTTAGCAAAATTAGAACTGAAAGAAATTATTGCATTCTATATCAAATGGGAAACACAAGGAAGCAAGAAGAGTTGCATAAAGTCCATTTTGGACAGAAGAATAAACCATAAGGTAGCGAGGTATTTTGACTGGAAATGAAGGCACCTGAAAAACTAATTGAGTTGGAGGTAACAAAAGATTGATTTAAACACCATTCAACAATTATACAATAAATCTTAGAGCTTTCTCATTTTGGTCCGCGTCAGGAATTCTCAGTGCCTCCTCAGTTTTCAAGTAGCACATGCAACAAATATGTCACCTGCTATGCCCTAATCCTCATTTCCTCAGGGGTTGAATTATCCTTCTCAGAGGAGAGCTGAAATATGAAAGGCCAGGACCCACTTTGCCACCGGTCCTATTCAGCCAGTTTACCCAGTGGCCCAGTCTGGAAGGGACACTGCAAGGACTGGAACTGAATTCCTGTCCAGCCAAGGGCTGGTGCTCGTTCCTGCTTTCTCCAGGCTCTGGCAGCTGGCAGCTGGTAGGCAGCCAATGCTCAACTTGTTATGATTGTGCTAGCAACATATGCAGAACCTACATCTCTTGCATCTCTACCTCATATTTTCCTCCTCCTCCTTTCTTCTCCTTTCTGATTGTCTATTCTGCTAGTTGTTTGGGGGGTTTTTGTTATAACTTGGAAGAATTAATTGGATAAGGGGATGACTTGCATCTGAAGTATGGAGGGGAGGAAGTGTCTCTACACTGCATCAGGAGAAGAGAAAAAGACACCCTAAATTAGCAAAGATTAACAAGGACATTGTTAGATATGAGCTGATATAAGCTTATATGTAGCTTATAAAATTGACAGCAGTGCAGACTTGAAGATGAAGAAGCAGTTTGCAAAGAGTCCTAAACAGGGCAAATATTATTTGAGCTTCCATCTCATTAAACAGAGGAATCATGATAAATAAGGAAACAACCAGCACTGATAGAGTTTTAACTTATCATTGCTATAATTAAAAAAAAACAAATCAATCACATTCTTTCCTCAAGGTAGCACATTTTGATATGCCTGCTTTTGTAAAGTCACAATCTCAGCTCATGCTTAAAGTGCTAAGAACGAGACCTGGAGGTGTATGAATGCAGCTTCTCTACTGCGTTTCTCACTTTAATGAGCAGTGAATTGGCCTTATACAGGTTTGTCTTCAAAGAGTACCTGCATAGAACTTGAGACACTGTATCCAGTCTGAGAGCCCCTACCCATGCAATGAAGTCAGGTCAGGCTACAAAAACATCTGCCACCCTTGCTAGCTCTCAGATAGCTCTGTTTGTTGCCCAGCCCATGTGAGATTTGAATTTCTGACCTGTTATACATGGGATTGTCTCCAAAGCACTGATGGCACTCACAGGTGTCTGAACACCTGCTCTGACAACGTGTGTGCCCTTCAGCCCCAGCTCTGGTACTGCTTCCCCCTTCTTCCTCATCAATTACACGCATTTTTCAGCAAATTTGAAAAATCTTTCTAAGTTCTAAACTAGAAACCTGGTTTTGACCTACTGTTTACTAGAATTTTAAAATCTCAAAGTTAGTTAAGTGTCCACATTTCTTGAATCTTTTGTTGTTTAAATGGTTGTGATATACAGCTTTATCAAAAACCTTGAGATTAACTTCTTCTCCATGCGTGTAAATATTATTGTAATGCATTTTCTGAATGTCCTTCATCAGAACTGAGGATTTGCTTTGTGCATAATATCAAATCTAAAAAAAGGTATTAAGAGCAGACAATGCAATGCTGAAAGACTTCAAATACCTGTGGTATTCTCTACAACCAAGTCAGTGATGGGAGTTGGAGTCTTACTTTCCGAGCTGCATGAAGTCACCTAATTTGGCTCAACCTCTGCCTGCAGAAGTACTTTGTCTCCCAGTTCCCAGTTGTCAATAACAATCCAGAAATGGCCCCGGGATCTCTCTCTGCCATATGTCATTGCTGTGGGGGCGTTGCTGGAGGTGATAAAGAAAAGGTCACTCACGGTAAATACCTGCCATCTGCTTGGAAACTGTAACAGTCTCATAGTGATGGGAGCAATTGGAAATATTCCCATGGAGCAGTAAATTATTACTCAGAAAGATTGATTTATTATTTTACACATCATTACTTAACTGGTTTTACTGAGACAAGAGGCAGTTTTCTGTTGAGAATACTTGAAAGGGTAGATAGAGCTGAGGGATCCATGAAGGCTATCATTGTGGGTTGTTGCTGAGAATGAAAAGTGGTTTTTAATTCATGTCTTATTAATATTATCCTGTTTCTGCATTAGTTACGATTATAATGCATCCTGGAACATGTCTGTTGCAGTCATGTGACTCACAAACAAATTATTTCAAGACTGAAAGAAGCTACTGTCCTGTAGGCTGCAGCAGACACTGTTGTACTGGGTTGACGGAGTTGAACTCAGCAGACTAAGTGGGATTTTCTTCCTCAAGTCTTCCAAAAGATAGAATATGCTTACTAGTAGTGAGAGAATGGTTAATTGCCTACTTTTCAGAATCATCCTTAAAGCTGTATATAACTGTCAGTTACCCATTGTTTAGGGACGTTGATGTCCGTAATGCCAAGGAGAGGCAAAATATTGCTCCAGGCAAAGCAGAAGGGTTACCCAATCCTTGTGTTGGCTTCAGCAAGGAATGCCACTTTTTAGATTTTGCCAGGATTTGGCTATTTCTTAAGATAACCCCTCTGTTTTTTTCCAGCTTACTTCCCCAGCCAGTGTGTGTCAGTGTTTGTATAATGATTTCTTTCAAAATGCAGGTTCCATTAAAATATAGTTCTCAGTGTTATCTCTTTATGTTGCATAGTTATGATAGAAAAGCAGAACTCAGTTCAGATTCTTTTGCAGACCATGGCAAAGCACCAACTACAGTGAGGAGAGCATGGAAACCTGTCAACTGTTCTTAACAATAATCTCTGTTAACACACATCAAAGTCACATTATTAGTGAAAGTAAAAGCTAATTCTCCAAAGATGGGAGAATTGGATTGGAAGAACCACTAAATTGCTCTGAAAAGTAAAAAAAAAGTATGTTGCTGTAAAGCGTGCCCGGGTCTCCCGGATCACTGCTGGTAGCTGCAGGTCCGGGACCTCGGGAAACACTTGGTGGTAGTAAAGAGATGAGTCTTCCACCAGGCGAGAGTCTCTCAAGCGGCTTTTATTCTGAGGGCTTTGGTGAGGGAAGGCGAGGAGGGTGAAGGGACACAGCCACTCAGAGGGCAAGCCAGCTCTGAGAGCCCCGAACCAGGGGCGGGGCAGGGTTTATAACAGTTGCAGGGAAGGAGGGTCAGGGTGTAGAGCATCCAACCGGGTGAGGGACTGAGGGTGGAGTCAAGCAGGAGTGACACGGCAACGGCCAACTGGGATAGGGGGTAGGAGTGGTTTCGGGGGAGGAACCAATGGGGGTACAAAGAACTGAGAACTTTCCAGAACAAAGGGAAGGAGTACAAAGTGATTGACATAAACTGGGGGAAGGGAGAACAGATAACTGACAACTCGGGAGGCAGGAAAACTACACATCTGTGGCCTCCCATGGCAAAGCAGGGAGGTCACCAACCACACTCCCTCCCACATTGCTGCCTTTACATATTTGGTGAAGGGCTTTAATTCATTTATGAAAAATGTCAAAGGCCAGTACATCCCTTCTCCTTTCAGATCTGAAAAAAATGGGAAAGTAAACACCTATAAGAGCTCAGCTCCGGTGAAAAGCACTGCTTCCACAGAAACATACAGCCCGAGGGAGGCCAGCCAAGCCAAAACAGTGGCGTGGGGTATAGGTCTGTACTTCACAGAAATGGTCATTACAGCACCAGATGGCTCTTAGAGATGATAAAGCAAGTTACTCAGGAATTGCAGAGCCTGTGAGGAAGCAGTCCAGCATGTAGAACTTAAAGAAAAGCCATGATTTTTCAGAGTGGCCACTGCAATGTAGGTAGAAGCAACACTAATTCATGCTGAAGTGAATTTGTGTTGCATTTCCCAAGAAAATATTATGCATTATGTCGGCCATTCTTTAAAATGAGACTGCAAAAAGCTTACCTCTAGGAAATAAGTAGAGGAAATTAAAAGATTGACAAGTTTACGTTGTGAAATAGGGGTATTTACTTAAAAGTGGACTAAACTGAGGTCATATGTGGTGGTCTATAGTCTCTTGTCTAAGACTGAACAAACAGAAATAAACACAGAGGCACACACAAAATGGCCTGGTTTGTGTTGTGTGCTAGTGGTTTAGGTGTTCTTGAAGAATAAATGAGTCTCATAAAAAAAGGCAAACAGTAAATAGGAGTATTAGAGAAGTATTAGAGAACATTCTAACATGGTCCTGAATTTCCTGGTGGGAAATAAAGTCTGAAATATACAAGTGTGCAGCTTCATGTAGCAGGGATACAGATCATGTAGCTCACCAGCTACATTATCTTAATTATTCCAGACAACCACATGAAGGTGGAAATATTACTAGATTCCACTGTCTGCAATGGGCACAGTACTGTGCCTCTTTTGTGCTACACCATTCTGTATGAGGCAGCTTTACTGATCTTCAGGGATCCTACCAAAAGGATACTCTGCATATTTTCTTCTTTTGCTCTGTCATATTAGGTCTGTGCATTTTTAATTATTCATGCAAGTCCTCAAGGAATTAATAACTATTAAATGATTAGGGGGTTTTGGTTTTGTTTTTTTCAACTAGAAAAAGTTATTTAATAAGGCACACTTCAATAATTCTATTCTCTACATAAATTTGTATACTTCAATAACTGTAAAAATAATTTTAACTTGTAAAGATATAAAAGCTCCAATGATCTGAAATGTTCTAATAAAAACAGCATGAGAAATATTCTTATATTTAAGTATATTGTTTCCCTTCTCATTTTCCTATGCAGGTTGCACTAAAAATACTTATCTGCTCAATTTTTTGAGTAATGAACACAAGACTGTACAACAACATATGTTTCTTCTAATTATATTCAGAAAAACAACATTCAGCACAAGAACTTGCTCTTGAAAAAAGCATAATTATAGTAGTAATTATTTAAGTATTTTAAATTATTTAATTATTTAAGGTATTATTTAGTAGTACAAACCTACTAAAATAGGGGGAAAGTTAAAGTTTATTCTAGCAGTCATTTATGAAAATTTTTTTGTGCATTCTTCAAAGCACACCCCACTCAGAATTATGCCTGTAAGTTAGTTCCCTAAATAATTTTTATACTGTAAATTATACTATAAATTTTATACTGTAAATTATTGCAGTGAAGTTAACATTAGAAGGCAATTTTTTTTTACTTTTAAATTTGTAGGGAAATTGGGAAATTACTTATGCCATTAAGTTTGGCATTGAAGTAGAAATCAAATATGCTCCTGAAAAAGACATGCTCCTTTACCTCATGGAAATCCAACTGATTTCAGTTTTCATTCTTTTTATCGTGCCGAGAAATACATACACCCATGCTTTGTCCGTAATCAGCAATTGGACCAGTATGAAGTGGGTGTAGCCTGAGCTAGCACAGATCCAGTTATTGAACAGAAAACCTCTTAATTGAAATGACTGAATGCCAGCCATTCTAAAGGCTAGTCTAACTTAAATATTCTAACTTTAGAGTTACACTTCTGATTAATTTTTAATTATATACTTTGATTTTCTTTTTTCCACTGTATTTCTACTTTTCTCCCAATGCAGATGGACCTTATGGACTAAGAGTCAAATCAGACAAAGGTCTGAATATTGGGGCAGTCTTTACAGTTGACGTGGGGGAGGTTGTACTGTTTGACTGCTCAGCAGATTCAAATCCACCAAATACTTATTCATGGATTCAAAGGGATGACAATACCACTCAAGTAATCAAATATGGACCCCATCTGGAAGTTGTATCTGACAAAGTGGCCCAGAAGACAATGGAGTACATGTGCTGCGCTTTCAACAATGTGACTGGAAAACGAGATGAAACTCACTTCACAGTTGTTGTTACGTCCGTAGGTAAGAATGTAACTTTACTGTTGTAAAGTGTAACATCTGAGTGGATGCCCCAGGAAAAGGAAGTAATTCTTAGAATATGTATGAAATTTAGGTCTTGCTAAGAATATAGTAAAGGGGCTTTTGGACATTCTGTGGGATACAGGTTTTACTTGCTGTCTGACACAGTTTGGAACACAACCCACTAAGACACTGAAATTTTGTGGGATTTTATTGCAATTTTCATGTAAATTATTTCCTTGTCATATTTATGAATCTCTGGATTGATTGCTGGGTTCTGAAGAACACATACCTTCATTGCTCATACAGTATTACCTCAGCTCCTGTATGGTTGTGTTCAATAGCAACAAAGCAGTTTTTGAGAAAATCTCCAGAAGCATAGAGCAAAGAACAAGATATCAAGGAAGTCTGATGTCTCTTTAATACAGATGGATACAAGTATTTCCAGATAAGGAACATATGCTATTAATGTTCAACAAGAATGACTAGACTGACTGTTAGAAAATTTAGCAAAGCAATTTCACGTGGGCTGAGCAAAGAGCTAACAAATTTGTTCATCTGGCAAACAAGAAGATATGTCCATGATTCAGGCCATGAATCCAGGGCTTTCAGTATGCTGGGAGGAAGATGGGTTTCAATTTCATAGTAAGAATACTGCACTGAAAAACTAAATTGTGGTTAGTAGTGAAAGAAAATGCAACCAAAACTATGTATTTATAGAAATAAACATTACATTTCTCCAGGAAGTTCATGTAAGATATGATATTTAGCTGGGATTTCCCTTCAAAGGCCAAAAAGGAGGGAAGACTCCACAGCTTCCTGGTTGGTGGCACTTAATAGATTTCCTAATTACAAATATTTTACTTACATCTTATTAAGACATTTTCTCTTGTGTATTTAAAAATAGAAAAAGGTCTTTCCCCCCTCGGGAGCCATTTTCTTTTTCATGAGTGTTTATTCAAATATCACTAAATGGAAATGTCAAGGCTACACCTTGCAGAGCAGCACTGACTGATTCTGAGAGGTATGAATTCACACACAATTGATTCTCAGGAATGCTGCTCATGCTAAATTCTTATTGCAAGTGAATAAACATACTAACCAAAGACTACGAAAATTGTCCATATTCCTTTTCCTCACCCTCATAATCCTAGATACAGAAGCTGGACTATGGCAACCAAAATAGCAGAAACCCCACTTTCAGTAGCAGCAGGAACTCTGATGTTTCAGAAGACCTTACACAACTTCCCTGTGGGACAGAAACTCACCTATATGGTGCTATAGACAGCTGCCTAATTAATCCTAAAAAATATCTACAAAACAATTATTATAATAAGTTACAATTATATCAATAGTTGCACTAAGTTGTTACCCATTTTCAGCCAAGATTCTAAGATGAGGTGTCTTGTGTACATGAGTCATTGCACATTTTTCAAGGTTAGTCAGTTTGAGTGTGTTAAATGCATGCAAAGAGCATGTCTTTGCTTTCTGCACTGATATATCTATGGAGATGTGATTTATTGAGTCTACATTTGAAATTACTCACTTTGAGGAACAATTTTAAGGACTCATCTGATTCTCCAGCATTTGGGCTTTTTCTTCCTAAAGAAACCAGTACCGAAGGACTATTAAAAAAAATTGGTGAAATTGCAGTGATTTATTTCCCCATCTCTTTAGGACATATTTGTCTAGGAATTCTTATATTTAGTCTTCATGAAAACCACTGTACATGTAGCCAGCACAATGCCAGTGAATTACAGGGAGGTGTAAGTAGACGTAAGCAGCCCTCTGCACAGGAGTTCATCAACTACCGGAAACACATCCAGCTAAATAATACGCAATTTAATTGTACTAATAAATCTGGCACTAGCAAATATGCAACATTAATTTACCTCTATGGATCATGATTTTTGTCCTTTAATTACATGAATTCTGCACAATTCAGGGCAAAAGGAGGAAATTAAGAGTGCACAAGCAAATACGTCTGGTATTTCCTAACTTTCACATTCTTGTCTTTGTAAATTAATTACAATTGTTTTCCATGTGCTTCTAGGTATGTAATTATATGCAATTTGTGTATGTGTTGTATCAGAAAATCCTGCTGGAAAAGTCCTGCTAATGCGTAGCCCAGCAAAAGACTTGAGCAAAGGGAAGAAATATTTTGAATATATTTAGATATGAATACAAACAACATGGTGGAATCCCCATCCTTGGAGGTATTTAAGGAAAGACTGGACACAGAACTTAATGCCAAGTTGATCTTTGGTCATAGGTTAGACATAATGATGTTAGAGGTCTTTTCCAGCCTAAGTGACTCTGTGATTCTGTGATAATTTATTGGTTTCAGATGTGATTTGATAAATAACCAGACTGTCAGTGATCTAAAAATCTTTACAGAAAGTCTAATGGGTCTTTTGTCTTCTCCTACTTTATGGCTCCCAACTACTAGGAGGATTTCCCTCCAATCTAGCACAAGTGACTCTCTCACCCTCTTTTTTGGTAGTTCAGTGTCTCTATACCACAAGTTATAATATGCACTTTCTTTTTTTTTTTTTTTTTTTTTTTCTGATGCTGTAATTTGTGGCTTACATTTGCTGACTTCCATTTAGATCTATGCACTAATCTGCTTGGAAGTCTTTTCTGATATGCATCTCATTGATTTTTCAGTTCAGGAGATCTGTGGGGAAAAATAAATATTACCCATTCACAAGACACAAACTTTGCACCTGTTTTATATCTCTATTCAGGTTTACTTGCTTCAGAATAATTTTAAAAGATGCATTTTTCAGTGTCATTGTAGCACATTGTAAAGAACAAGGAACTAAATCCAGTACTCATCTTCTTTGTCACAGGGTTGGAAAAGCTGGCCCAGAAAGGAAAATCTTTGTCTTCTCTTGCAGTAATAACAGGAATTTCATTATTTTTGATCCTAGCTATGGCCTTTTTATTCCTATGGAAAAGATATCAGCCACATAAAGGTATGTAAAAGTTAAGCAAAGTCCATCTCTTCTTTTGCACCATTGAAGCAAAAGGAATAAATATTTTTTTCTTCTTTTCAGTGATACAACAGAAGCTACAGAGCAGGTAGAAAAACAATTCATCTTACTTCTAAAAGTACTTTCCATCCAGAGAATTGCATTTTATCATATTAATTTTCTTTCCTTGGATTATGACGTCAAACTGAGAACCATATTTATGTTTTCTAGGGCAGAAGCTGATTACAGAAAGGCACAGGCATTTTCAGGTAATCCCAATGAAATAAGTGTGAGCATAAGGTCAAAGTCCATTTCTGAAAAAGAAAAATAGCTTCACAAAATACAGAAAAAAATGAAAGGAAGAAAAGTGTGATTTTATGTTTTGTTGCACACCTCTGTTGATAGCTTAATTAAGATAAGACCTAAATTGAGAAGTCAACATAGATTTAGCTCATGCCTGGAGCTCATAGTAGTATGTACTGTTGTCTTGAATTCTACCTATTAATCCCAGTATTCTGGGATTGGAATACCTGTATTCCACTGTTGTCACCAATATTACTTAAATCAGTGTTATTGTGGGATAGCAGTAAGAGGTGATACACCATGGAAGGATTGCAAATGAAAATATTCTGGCATCAGTTGTTACCAAAATCATGAGTTAATGACATTGCAATATATATATATCACCTTCTATCACATCCTGTACTGCCTTTCTCTGTGTTATCAGGACACAGAGTGTTTTGTTTTCCACTGCCTCTTTTCCCTCCACAATACTTCCCACCTGATCCTAGGCAGGAGATGTGAGACCATCCTTTGGAAGGAGATCACTTTTATTCCCATTCCTTTCTACCAAAGCATCAGAGTAGACCATAAACTGCTACATGCACAAGTAGAGGGAAGTATATGAAACTTAGGAAGGTAGGACATTCACTTGAGCACAGAAGGTCCATCAAAGTCATAGCAAATAATAGAAATTCATCATTGTTTTTAGTGCTGCAACCTTTGATGTGCAATGCTGCCCAAGAGACAACCAAGAGCCTCACATCTCGTGGACAGTGGGAGGGTAGACTAACTACACCTAAATACACCTAAATACAAGCTGTATCTGAAGTCCCAAATAATAATAATGTGGCATCTCTAGGTACCATGTTCCCTTTTATTATTCTCAAAATTGTAAAACATTCAGGTGGTACTGCTTCACTACACTGTGAACGTGCTGAGTTTATTTATTCAGCCTCTTTTCTACGGGAAATGAAAGTGAATTGGTCATTTTAGCCTTCATGAATAGAGAGTATGAATGTCTCCACCAAAATCGTTGCTGAGGTTAGCAAGAGGCTGCACACTGGGTACAGGGTGTGGGAGATCACCAAGTACTGTGCACACCAGCTCTGCAACTGTCCTGCCTCACTCCACACCAGTTTAGGAGCTCAGCAGAGAAGTGGTACAAAGCAGATCACATAAGCAGTATTTGGGTGTTTTAAAAATTAGGGCAAAATATCTTGCCAGTCATTATTTTCCAGGTTCATATTAACATCTCTTTTTTAAAATCTTTGTTCTAACTTTAGGACATGAAAGTGCTTTGGATGATTTTGGGATATATGAGTTCATCACTTTTCCAGATCTTACCAGTGGCTCTAGGGTATGTGATTTTACATCATAAACAGACAGTTTCTCTTCTATTTCCCTAGGTATACTAAATATCTGTACCAGAATCCTTCTGTAGTTTCACTTCTGTTGCTTTTTACAGATGTCTGTATGACACCATATTCATGGCTATTGGTCACCCAGTACTTGCTCTTTCTTTCCTGTGGTATTAGTTCAGTACTTCATAATCAACATAGTGAAGTAAGGAATAACTAAGCTCTAAAGACAGCACTCTCCATTCAACTACCCTATATTAAAAGAATATTAGTAATACTGGGAAGCTGAGTAGCACTGAACCACTTGTGTCACAGGCAAGTGTACTGTTTGATGCCATTTTCTCCCTTGACCCTAATATTTCTTCTCATGCAACATTCAGCCCTGGCAGTGCAGAAAATTGTTGGGGGTTATTTACAGTGTAAATATAAAATAAGTCTCAGCTGTGTTCCACAAAAATTATGTGGTTGGTTTCATGTATTGTAGGGTGGGAGTTAAGCATACGAATTTTGCTAGCAGAAAAGAAATCCTGCAACATTTGCTGCTTCTTTGCATTGTGTCTTTTCTGACATTACTGCATAACAGTTGGAGACCATTCTGATATGGTGTAAAAGGACAATAAAAAGATCAGAAATAGGGCCATAAAATTTAGGGTCAATGGTAAAACTGGGAGGAAAGAGAATAAAGACTATGCCTTTGCTAGGGAAAATTGCCATCAATGTAATCTTGTAACTTTGGAGAGCATCAATCTGTTCAAGTAAGGGAGATCTCTTAAAGCGTGGTCAGTGTCACATTGCCACACCTAATTTGTTTTTATGATTAGTACTCGTAATGCATGATGTCAAAAAACAGTCATAGATTAATTTACCTTCTCTGAGGGAGTTACATGTTTGAAATATACATTTATAGGGCTAAAGTGCTACTGCAAATGTTAGTGGAGAGGACAGGCTTTTACAGCAGAAGATAAAAGACTTTTAGAAAACAGAGCAGCTGAACTGCGTCTCTTGCAGTTTGTGAGGCTTATTAAGTTTAAGAGGCTTATTAAGTTTAGAGATCAGGCCCTAGATCATTACAGCCTTAAGCATACTGCAATATTATACTAAAGAAGGTATATTTAGATTAAATAAATTATTTACTTGTAAGGATGGTGAGGCAACTAAAAGTTGTCTCAGTTGCAGATGCCCTATCCCTGGAAGTGTTCAGAGTCAGATTGGACTGTGAGCAATCTGGTCTAGTGAAAGATGTCCCTGACTACGGCAGAGAGGTTGGAACTGGATAATCTTTGGGGACTTCCAACCCAAACCTTTTATATCCCTTAAGCTTATCATATCACAGTATCACATTCTTGCAGGATCAGTGCCTTAGTAGGTCAGGAGGGAGAGGGCAGTGACAAGAACAACAGGAGGGATGTACAAGCAATGAAATATAATTTCCAGTAAAATTTCAAGGAACAGGAGAAACTCCACTCATTTATGTTCAGCTATTCAAATGTACAACATTGCAGGTAAAATCAGCTTTTGTCTCATTTTAGTCAGCAGAGAAAGGGGAAAATAAGAAGGTGGAGATAAGGAAGAACTGGAGGTTAGGTATAGGCAGAAAGATTGGTCATTCCTCATGGATGTAGAGTCTAGGTAAATCTGTTGTCATGACATGAGAGGAAATCAATATACTTAATATGCTGAACAAACAATATTACTTGATTTATGGAAATTCCATGCATTTCTCTCTTTTTGACAGGCTGGTGGAAATTTTCTGCTGAACCCAAGCCTGGAATATTTATTGATTTTTTACCATCTATTCTCCTGCTTTTCCCTTTATTAAATGCTTCTTTCTTGACTTGTGGTACCTTAATATAAAGTATTTGCTGTATTAAATGCAAAATCTGCATCCTAAATCTTCTAAGGGGCTAAAAGAATTTAAAACGAATACTTGTCTTAGTATTAATGTGATGAGAACTTACTCAAAATGAAATGTAAACTAGAAGAGATTACCTGTTCAATCCACAATCAAAAATTTGATAAAAAGTTTAAAAAATTCCAAGTTACATTAACAGTTTAATTTCTGTTGAATCTTTTCATATTTGTATTTACAGTAGGAATATGCTTTGTTTGTTTTAGGTTTCAAGTCAATCTGTTCCTGGCCCTGACTTTGTCGCAGGCCAGGATATGCTAAGTACGGTTTATGAAGTTATTCAGCACATTCCTGAGCAGCCAGAACAAGACCACCAACAGTAAGTTACAGACTGTGCTCACTCACATGGTAGCTCAAAGACAAATACTCTTGCATCCAGAACAATTTACGTTTTGGTAGCTGTTTTTTGATTCCACTGAGAAGATTATAGAAGGAAATATATAAACTGCCTTTATTCCTCCACCATTTTCTATCCAATCCCCCACTTTTCCTCAAGGCTTCAGTCTGTTGTTTCATTACACTAGTTTTGTTAAAGTGTAAAAAAGAAAAGGTGAGATCTTCAAACACAGCTTCAAATTGAAATTCCCACTTAATTTAATAGGGCCCTGAAACATCAGCACTTCCTACTGAATAGGTTAAATATTCAATCAAAGCAGTTTAATTGGTAGCATGGCCTTCAGACCTCTCAGCCATGTACCAAGTAGAGTTAGTGGGGGTTTTTGCAATGTTGAAACTGGTCAGTTGAATAATTATCAATGGTTGTTACAATAGTAACTGAAATACTAACAGAGTTATACTCAAGTAAGCAGTGTCTCTATAGCAAAAGAATTCTTATTATGTGGTACCCTGGCTGGGAACTCCACAGAAACACTTTTGCTGAGTTAAATACCAGGAAGGCCACAGCACATTCTGCTTGTAGGTAGCACAGTGTGCTTGTAGACCTGTAGCACAGGTCTTATAGACCTGGTTTTGTTCAAATCACCTAGTATATATCACTTCCTAGCATAAGAAGAGTGAAGTTTTTTGTAATTGTAATATACCTGCAATAAATCTATTGTGAATATAGTCTTTCTTACAAATTAAGAACAGCATACAAGACTTTATTTGGTAACAAGCCTATTATATCTCATTTTCTATGGTTTTTTAATGTGTTCTGTTTCTTTCATAGTTGAAAAGGAAAATACACACTCTTAACAATATTCTAATCAATTGGCTGAGTAATCACTATGTTTATGTGACTGCATTAGGATGCAGTACTTAGCCTACAAAAAATGTTGTTATGTCTTAGTTTATGTCAACTGTGTGTCCAAGTTACGTATGTAAACACACAGCTATGCTTGTTAAAACAAGCTGGTCAGTGAGAAAGCAACACTGAATTGCTAATTATGGGTTGTTTTTTTTTTTCTGCTCAGAATTTTTCACTTTGAACCCTAAGATTTTTAAAGCCAGATGTAAAAAATACCACTCATAAAGTACATATTTTCTTACTCTTCCTCTTACATGTCTTCCTTCTCAAGTTTCTCACTGATACATGACCCCTCTGAAAAAAAGGAATAAATGCAACACAAAGGTAATTTGAACTTTGTGACAGTTTAGATTTCAACTTAAACTTTGCAAAACATATTCTGTAGTTGTAAAGGACTCATTTGCATAAACCAATTTTGCTGCTCTTCTCGTATTTCATATTTGGAAAAGGAAACAGGAAAAACTTTTCACTAATAGCACAAAATCTGCTAAGCATGATACTGGGCAACCTCCTCAGATTAGAAGGACCACATTCATGAATTTTCCAATTCCTGACCTGCTGAGAAGGAGCACTCTGAGTGATAAATAAATAAGGATGAGTAAGTCAATACTGGTCCTCACAGCAGGATGCTTCCATTTCAGTATAAGGGTGAAACAAAACACCGCAGAACAGAGAATGAAGCTGAGAAAGTAATTGCCAACTCCTGTAGTGCAAAGTAATGATTACTTATGGTTGAATCCCACAGACTCAGTATGCAGTCATCTACACAATAATCAGCAATATTCACAGGAAAACTGATACTGCACTCTGTGGCAGGAATCTCTCTTTGTACAAATGAAAAGAACAGATATTACAGGAGCCAAACAGATTTGTTAGCTAAGTGATTACTTTATTCTTATTCCCAATGATTCTAAATTGAACTGCTGTGATTTAATAAATTTATTAAAATAACTATGTAAAGTGAAATCAGTCAAAAGCAATGTTTAATTCTCAGATTTACTGTTTGAGAATCTTTCAAATCCTGTCTTTGAATGTAACTTCACCAGAATTAGCTGGTGTTCTCTCCCTTGCTCTTAGAAATCCCAGTGAAAATACCAGCAAATTTGCAGACTAGCCAATGCCTAACACATGGGAATAGCTTTTTCCACTTTTCATTGTGCTTTTCTCAGCCTTTTTATCCTTTCATCCACACAGTCAAAATAATTACAAAATTTGCACCCTAACTCTTAAAAGGTAGAAATACTACTGGAAAATAATTAAATTCTTTAAATCTCTTGGGTTTGGACTGACAGACTTATAATTTAATTGTAGTCAAAACATAAGGTGAGAAAATAGCTGGCTTTGCACTTTTACATTCATGTGCTTCCATTAGTTGCTTTTCACAACAGTCTTTTGCAAACTTGCCTCTTCTGCACCTCCAAAGAATCAAAGGGAAAACAGAAAATCAGATTTTGAGGGAACTGTTCTGCTCCATCTCTGGGATCCACAGTCACAGGAAGTTACAGAATTGTCACATACTCCAGTATATCATTAAACAGATTCATTTAAGTCATTTTGGTTTTATTCTTTTCCCACCCTTGGACATTTTTTTAAACTAAATATAAATTTTTTTGACAAACTGAACAGGTTCTTCCACATATGGAAGAAATCCAAAGATGTCTGCCAAATCTAATGAGAAAGAGGTTTAGCCAGCTTTTACAGATAAGCACTGACAGTTCATAACTGTTTCACTAAAAACTACTTGTAACTTAAGTTTCATTTTCACTCCAAATGAAGATAATTTTACATCATCTTCTGATCCATACTGTTCCTCTCATCTCAATCATTAACCATTTCACAGATTTCTGCTCTGCCAGCTGTTAAAGAGCAGTAAGCATACAAAGCCATGCCAGGCATTTCAGCACAGGGTTGTACTGTGGACTGCACTGGCTCAGCCCATGGTTACCACCACCCTTTAGCAGGTACATTATTGTTGTACAATATGAGCAGCTTGAAATACCTGTACAGAAAGAGCAGCAATGCAGGATGCCATATTAGCCATGATGTTATTATGGCTCAAACCTGTGCTGTCTTTTCAAAACTAGACATAGTACGCATACTAAAAATTCATTCAAAAATTAGTGTGTTGCAAATCTGTCCCCACAGATCTTTTTCAGGCTGAAGAGTTGTGTTTAGAGCTGCTGGTTTGCTTACATATTTGCAACAGTTATTTTAAAGAAAAGAAAAACAGCGTTGTGGACAAGTGTTAGATATATCTATGTATATGTTCTTTCCTAGATGTATATGAAGATACAGGAAGAGGAAATCAAAGCATCTGGAAATACCAAAATTACTTCTTTATAGTATATTGAAGGAAATTCCAACAACTTCAAGAGTAGCAAAGGCTCATGCCACCTTGTCTTGAAATAACAATTTTTCTTCAGACTGAAAATCCCTTTTGGGGTGCTCTAAATTGCCCATTTTTAAAATTAATTTTTCTTTTTTTAAGTAATAATTCCTTGGGAAATAGGGTTATTTTTTAATTCCTTTTTTTTTTCCTTATAAGTGAATACAAAAGACAAAGGGATAGCTTAAAAAATGCACTATAAAACCTACACCTTTTTCTAAAAAACAATCAGCAGAAGCACAAGAAGGAACCAGGCCCAAGATGTCATCCGTGCTTGTTTTATTTAAAAAATAGCAAAAATAGCAAACAGAAGGGTTGTTTTTTTTTGGGGGGTTGACTTTAACAAGAGAAGACCTCCACACTGACATGAAAAGTAATAAATGCAGTATTGCCAGATTGCAGAATACATTTGGGGTTTTGAATAAAGTAATTCTTTTAATTCATTTAATATGACATAATTTTCAAGTGTAGAAACGGATTTGTCAAGCAGTTACAAAAATGTATATATGTATTATATTCAGAATAATGTGTTCTCATTAAATTGTTTCTTTTCCATTTGAACTGGTTTTCTATTTGCTGCTGAAGAGCCTATTTCTCATTGACTAGGAGAGTAAGTTATAGTCAAGCTATTTCCAAAAGCTGCAGGAAGTTCAGGCTATTTGTACATTTAAAATAATTCTCCATTATTTTCAAACACTGTTAAAACAGTGTGCTACAAGTCCCTTTGCAAATAGAAGAATACTCTTCCAGAAGCTTCTGTTAGCTGGCTTCTGAATCCGGCAGGAAAATTCACTATTATTTCCACAGGGTCAGCTATTATTTGGTGTCAGTTAGCCACAGTCAGGGAAAAGAGGAAATATGAACTGGATTAATTTACAGGAGGGAAAAAGTTACTTCAGGAACAGTTAATTGTGCAGAAAATCATTACTGTGAGTAATGGGAAAGCAAACACTGTGCCCACCCTTTAAGACAGGCTGTATGATATTATTTAAAGCACTCTGTATTATAAAAAATAATTTGCACTTATTTAAAGTACCTTAATCCATATTTACTAAACATTATTCCTCTCACCATCTTTCAAAGACAAGGAAGAAATAGCATGGTTTTCAGTCAGCATTCTGATCTTGTGAGTCTGAAAAAAAGGGGAAAAAATAACTGCAGCATAGCGTGTGAGGAAAATAGGATCTGGCATTTCACAGAAGCAGCACACGAAGCCCAAATATGCAAGTAGTAGTGACATGATCTCAAAAATAGTGTAGTCACTAGATTTGCTCCCTAAGAAATAGCCATCTGACATAAAGGCATCAGGCAGAAGCTCTAAGTTGAAACATTTGGGCTGAACTGAAAGACTGAGAAGCTTAGAGAGTTCCACATAAATTCCTCCATTGTTCAGTCAAAACTGACTTCGTGTGTGTTTCAAATCAGAGCAGCTTTTTGGGATTTGAAAAGTCTGATTTTCACCCTCTTTTCTCCTCCTCTTTTTGCTGGAGCAATAATTTTAATTGCTCTGAAGGGAGTATGCTGATTTGTGAAGTGCTTGAGACCATTCCATCTTACCCCATTGGATGTCACTGCAGGCCACAGGGCAGGAAATGCAGATAATTTAAGAGAAAGTAGTTTCTCCTCCTCTGGACCCTCTGTGTTTAAAACTGCCAGTTGTTTACATTTTTTAAGCTTTTGTGGAGAAAAAAAAGAGAAGTCAGGTCAATATCAGTTCCATTCTACATTCTTTTAAGCTCACTTAAGCCCATGCCTAAGTGCATTTTAAAGGTCCCAAAACATTTTTTCAGAATCTGTGCTCATATCTCAATAATAGAGAGGAAAACTGTTTTGGATTAAGCCATTTGTCAATAATGTGAGATTACTTCAGTAGTCCAGTACAAAAGTCCATCTTAACAGTCTTTTGAACTTTTGCACAGTGCCTGTAAAAATAACTGAAATATAAACCAATTTTGTTTATACATCACATAATGCCTAAAAGCTCTGTGGGTCCATGCATTTTCACTGGAAAGGACACCCATCATTAAGTTTATAAATAAGAAAGAAAAACTTCCGGTTGCAAGTAGAATGTCCCCTAGAGGCCCTGTATGCAAATTGTGGCTGCCACATTCCTACTCTCCACTTACAACAAAAATTTCAGAAAAAAATTCAGCTGGAAGGAAAATTTATTTTACTATAAAAAGAAAAAAAAAAAAAAGTGGCATAAATAATTCTTTTAATTATGGCAGCAGAACCAGCTCTGGAAATAGGAATATGTTATTGAAACAGACAGAGGGCAAACACAGGTAAGTCACCTTCTGCTTATACTATATTGTTCTCATCTCATGTTTTTGTTTCATTGCGTCTTGTGTATTACTGACTGTTAACCAAAAATTCACTGGCATAAATTCCTATTCAAACTGTGCTCATTCTTTACTGTTGTTCCCAAATTTGCACAGTGCATTGAGCTCCTTATGGTGGGGAAATCCATTTAGTGGAGGTATAAAAGCAATAAACTACAAGGAAAAAACAATTTGGAAATGTCACTTAAGCTTAATGGATGACAAAAAAAAACCTTTGTACTCTTGCCTATTTCCCACTGGTACCACAGATTGATAAGCTTTTAATTATTGATGTAAAATCTATTCCAAATTTCACCAAAACTAATGGAGTGTGTGCCCATTGAATAGATGATGTATACACTGGGCAGTTGAAATATGAAATGGGGATAATGAGAAGGCAGTATGAAATGGGACAGGGAGGAATTTTTCAAATCTCCTTTTTTTCCTCCATTCCTGTTGGTACAGGCTTTTGCCATTTCATTAGCTTGCTGATGAGGGTCAAGAATGGCTTTCTTTGATGAAGTGAGGCTGTGGACCTGAGATCAAAGGTAGGGAAGATAAGCCATAACTCTGGAAGTCTGAAGTGTAGGAGTACTAACAGCAGTAACCTTCAGGCACTTGTCATATCAGGCACATATCACAAGGTGGTGTGTAGTACTTAGTCTTTGTTACTACATGCCTTAGAAGCAATTCATAAGAACACTGAAGGATATCAGCTTTCACCACTGCTCGTGTGGGAATGCTCCAACTCACACTTCGTTGTGGCTTTGAAATCTTAACCCCTTCTTACTGGCCATCAGGCTATATTCCACAGTCCTTTTAAGACTACAGCAAGATCAAGGAGGAATCAGTACCCTTGGCAGCATTAGGAGAAGCACTGCTGGCAGGCTGAGGGAGATGACCCTGCCCCTCAGCACTGCTGAAGCCAAGCTTGGAGTGCTGAGTCCAGTCAGTGCTGGGCTCTCCAGTACAAGACATGGACACACCAGAGCAATCCAGCAAAACCCCACAGTGATGAGGAGGATCACCTGATATACAATGGTGAGTTGAGAGAGCTGGGACCTGAAGAAGAAATGCCTCAGGGAGATGTTACCAATGTTCATAATATAAGAAAAACCTTTTACACTGTCAAGGTGGTCACAGACTTCTGCCCAGAGAAGCTGTGGAATGTCCATCCTTGGAGATACAATTAACCCAACTAGATGCAGTCCTGGCCAATCTGCTGTAGTTGACCTTTGTATTAAATGTTTCACTGGACCATGCCATATAAGGACACAAACTAGGATGCAAAGCATAGAATTACAAGCATAGTTCTTTTATTCATGCACATGTAGTGTCCCCTTCAAAGCAGGGCAGGCATTTGGGTGCACATTTCATTTATTGCTGCCTAACAAACACACACTAATATTTACTAATCATAGTAAAACTTTGCAAAGCAACTACATTTTTATGATGTCATCTACCACCTGCTTCTTTATTGATCAGATACACCCACAATCAGTCTTCCTATACTTACTTATCTATAGTGACAGACAGTGGGAGGGTTTCAAACACATGTTAGAAGGGCTAGAATGCTAGCATTATCTTGGTTGCCCAGGTGTATCTTTTATTCTTCATGGACAGTAATTAAAATTCCAAGAAGCAGAGTCCTTATCTTGGGAACCAGGTTGTCCTTCTCCTTACAATAAGCTGGGGTTCTTTGGTTTGCTGGGGTTCTTTAGTTTGCTTGCTTAAGCATGACTGTTCAGCGTCCAATGTAAACTATACATATATTTTAAAGAAAGCTCATACAATTTTATATTACAAAGATTAATTGGTATAATAGAAAGGGAATGAGATTTTCCTAAGACCCCACTTTGAGCAGGAGTTGGACCAGATGATCTCTAGAGGCGCTTTCCAGCCTCAGACATGCTGTGATTCTGTGAGCTCAGGGAGGGAGATGATCAGTAGGTAGATCTCAGCAAAAATGACACTAGCAGTTACAACATGAGGTCCTGCTATTGTAAAGGGAATGTACGCTTTCATTAAACACCTCCTTAAATAAGCATGGCCAGCTAAGCAAGAGAAGATAGCTAAATACAAGTACAATACTCTGCATGTACCTCCATGCTTTACTTGTAGAAAGCTGAGCCTTGAAAAGGAGACACTCCATTGTTTTATGATCTCAGGTTAAAACACTTTTTAAAGTAGCTTTAATCTTTTTTATTACTTTTTGCCTTACTCAGATAAAATACAATCAGATATTTTCTATGGACTTTCTTCAGTGTTAGCACAATTCCTTTGGAAATCTGTCACCACTATGGTCCTATCAATACATTTATATCATACATCTTTCTGGGAACTAGAGGGCAATGGCTTCCCACAGGACATGGCAGGAGTTTCTGAGAAGGAGAAAGGGAAATGAGACAATGCTAGTAAACATTAGGTTTCTGACAGATGTGCAAATTGATCATGTCCATTTGAAGGGGGACTGTTTCCTCTGTGCCGTGTCTGGCAAGAGGCTTCCTGATTAATAGAAGCTACTTTCTAGGTATATAAATGGCTGTACTGAAAGTATTTTTCATCCAACCAAGTCTTTTTTAATGCTCTTGAATAGTCAATCATGATGTATTTTTGAGTATATTCTCTACTCATACACAAAAGTCTTCAGAACTTTTTTCTTAAGCATCTCTTAAAAACTCCTATGTTCAGTACCAAATCTTAACACTGGCTGACAATATAAAAGTCCATGTCAGTTTGTACAGAAATGCTTTTCTTAACAAGTAGCTCTTCATAAAGGTGCCTAAGCATATGAAATGAGCCCAGCTTTTCCAAAGGAGCCCAGCTCTGTCACTGCCTTTCTGTGGAGACCACAAGGCTTTTGTAGAAAGAGACAGAACTGTGGCAAAAGTTTCCAAACAGTTCATAGACAGATTTAAAAGGATCCCATTGTAAGAAATGAAACTAATGCAGCCTTGAATGGAAAGTGACAGTTGTGCTGTCATTAAATAATAAGGAAAAAAAGTGGAGGATCATTTTTTTATCAGAATCTGCGGTAAATATACAACAGACAGGAGCAAATAACATAAATAAAGGCTTAGACATATAAGGAGTCCTTTCAAGTATAAATCTCTATCACAGTTCAGTTAAACATGAAATGCAAATACCAGCATGTTAGAAATCCTGCTCCACCTAAAAAGATAATATGTATGTATCTCTTCAGGCTATGTGCTGTGTTCCAGGGCAAAGTACAAACTGCTG